CAATTGCTTAGCGCCGCATTCATGTGCTTGAACAAAAATTTTTTTTATTTTTTTATTTTTTTTGCCCCACTAAAAAACTTTCGGTTTTCAGAGGTTTTCAGTTTTCGGAATTTCGGATAAGAGATTGTCAACCTGTATTAACTTTTGCATTTTAAGAAATCCTTATTGTTTTATTAATGGTAAATTAATATCAAATATTGTATATGCTATGCAGATGATACTGCTTTTATTACAGATAGTGAGAAGGCATTACAAAAACTCAAATACAGATTAGTGGAAAAAGGTAAAAAATTTGGTATAAGAATTAATGTTGTAAAGACTAAAGTAACGATCATTTTTAAATTGGAAATAAATCCTAAGATAAAAAAAAAAAACATGGTAGGCAACAAGTTGATTTTTTTTGTATTTGGGAGGTAACATAAGCTGTGATGGTAGTTGTATGGAAAACATCAAAACAAGAATAAGGCAAACAAAAACAGCATTTAATAATCTAAAACATAATGTGTTGTCTAATGGTAGACCCTGCTGCCATATGGCATCACAAAAATTTTGATCAAGTCCCAGGTTGCTGATCTGACTGGCTTTCTGCCTCATTTTCCCATAATTGCTGAGTCTCAATTGTTTCTCTTACTTCACAACACAATATATGGATTGCGTATGCAAGTCTGAGACGAATCTTTGATGGGAAAGTAACTTTGTAGCTGCTGACCCAGTTGCTTGAGGTGTTCTGTTATTAGGCCTTTTACATGCTCATCTAGGACACTCATTTGTTTCAATAAAGTTTTCCTACTATGTCCCTCCATATATCTTTGTTCCTTTACTTGTCCTCCGTTGCTTGCGTTGATGGTGGATAACGAAGCTGTGGATTACTCATCGCGATTTTTCTTTCTTCACAGTTTTCCTGTTTTTAACCAAGCATCCATTTCAAGTGCGTGAACATATTCAGTAAATAAAATATTAGACCTTCCCTCTATGAATAGATCTGACAAACTGGCTTTGTGACTGCCTTCCCACCCAAGTTCCCTGGCTCTTAATAGATTTTCAAATACTCTGTATATGTAGTGCATTCGTATTGATTCAATAGCTTTATATTCTGGTAACATGTCATGGGATGAAAACAAAAGGAGAAATATGTAAATTTTTTCACTCCGATTTCGGTAAACATAATTTTACTTTCGTCCATCAGTCGGAAGGCTTCGGTACGTGAGTTCAACGATAACAATTCCAAAATGAGCATAAGTGTCACTCTGTCAGCTGGGGGGGTAGGGAGGGTGATTCCTCAACCGTTATCAGTTCAAAATGTGTTAATATGTTTGCGTTTCTACTAAGATAAATTTAATAATTCCTCCATTACTTTTTATTTCTCATGCAACACAGTCTTGGAAATGCTGCTTTAAGGGCTCCTGGTACCAATGGTGTTACGAAACATAAGGCCATTACCACTGAAATTAAGTTGGATGTGCTCAAATGTTATGAGAGGTGAACAAACAGCTGATATTACGTGTGCCCTTGAACTTAGTGAATTTACTTTATGGACTATTCGTAGTAGTGCAGAGATGATCAAGGAGAGTGCAAAGAGTGGAACATTTAATTAGTGCATCTCAGACATCGTATTCCTGAAGTTTGATTATGGAGAGAATAGAATGAATGTTCAGCACATAGATCGAACATCAAACTCACAAAAATTTTCTTATCATGTTTGTGATACAAGTAAAGGCCTGGAGTACAGGAGGTCCCCGACATACGAACGCCCGCCGATACGAATGGGGTTAAACTTGAAATTAAATGCCAGGTAGCGACGTGTCCCCCTAATATTACTTATTAAGTCATTATTAGATGTATTAATTGCCTGTATGTTGGCCTGGCGAATTGGCTAGGAATTAACATACCTAGGTAGCATTTGCTGACGTCGCATTCGAGCTATATCACAAAAACTGGTTTTTAGAAAAAAAATGGCTTTTTTTCATTTACTGTATTTTGTCATATCTATTTTTTATTTTTTTTCTTAAATTAAGTGATTTTAGATTTATATAAGGACTTAGGCTATGATATAGTGGGAGTTTAAACATTGTTTTATAAGTACCGTAAGCATATCACATGTGTTCTGGCTTATGTACAAATCTGACTTATGAACATCCTCAGGAAAGGAACCTGTTCGTAACCTGGGAACCCCCTCTATTTAATCTCCATTATTTACATTGTTTGATTTACGAATTTTTGATTTACACAACCATATTTAAGAAGGTAATTATCACTTAAATTAGGAGGGTCCTGTATAGTAGTTAGTTTATAATTTATTATTTATAGAAAATGTTAGTTTCACAACTTTTGTTGTTGGGGAAGAATTAATCTGATTATCAAATTTTTTTAAAATGTACAGCACTGCAAGGGATTTAGGGTTAGGAGAGAGAGGAACGAGGAAATCAGAGTTAAATACAATACTGCAAAGACAGTGTTTAACACTTTTGAAGAGGAGATGGTATATGTGATGTTAAATGCCATGGATGGAGTGTTTGGAAATACTGTACTGTACTGTGTCTGAATGGTCTAAATGTCATGAATCAGGGTCTAAGAACTGATGGCAAGTTGGATTAAAAAAACTTAAGCTGAGACTGTTGTATGTGGCTGAGGTTTTTTTCCCCACCTTTAATATTTGAGAAAAGAGCTAATTCACCACAATAATAAGTAATAATGATAATTTTGATGATTTTTTTTAGAGCCGCCCAAGTTTGTATATACTCCACCAGAGGAAGTTTATGAAGATGATGGTGCTGATCTTTACTTAAATTGCTCAGCTTCGGGTTCACCTAAAATAATGGTTGCATGGTACAAGGAAAATGACCCAGAGCCTATAGTGGTGAGCATTTTTATTTAATTTTTTGATGCATATTTAACTCATGGTACATACTTTACTTTCAGCAGGTTCTGTGTAGTTTACTATTGTCAGTATATCTTCATTTTTGCTTTCCATTTGGTCATTATATATAGTTAAAATATATGAAATCTTCAAAAACAGTAAGAATAACCACTGTCTTACAGTCTGATAGACTTAGTGCCATGCTGTTCATACCAAGATTCACAGTAACAGATGAAGGATCATACTATTGCCGGGCATCCTTATATGATCAGGAGATTGAGGACAGAACTGTCCTTAAACTGAGAAGTAAGTGGAGTGTTTAAAAATGTTTTTTACTTCAATAATTTGTTTCAAGGTTCTAAAGCCTTGTGCTCAATGCTAGTCTCATAACCTTTTTCTTCTTGGTACAGGCTTTCAATGGTTAGCTTTTCTTTTATTTGGATAATTAAGGTGCCTAGTGCATTGCATGTACTGTACACTAATTGAAACTAATTTTTGCACAAGGACAACAAAGTTGTAATTTAAAAGGAAAGGGTATAGAATATACAGTGAAATCATAGAGCTTGGTTGATATACTGTAATAATGAAGGAAAATAAAATGAATTTGAGGACTCAAAGTTAAAGGCAATCATTGAAGATGTAAAGTTCAGATGTAATAAATTTAGGAGATTCCCATAATTTTACAAATAAAAAAAGTATTTTGTGTTTGTCTTAGAATCTATGCTCTATACATCCCTGCAAGGCATAAAGAGACAGCTAAGAGTGCTGAAGGCCATCCTACAAGGTAGAACTGTCCTATTTTGCAAATTGAAAATGGAATAAGGTTGATAGATAAATAGGTAATGGGTACCATCAAAGACAAAAGTTTTGTCGCAGTTTTATCCAAAGATTAAATATAACTCGTGAAACATTATGAGAGCCCTCTACCACAAGGCAGAGCACACCAAAAGTTTAGCCCTTTGGCATATGTTTTCACCAAGTTTCACGACATGACTTTTGTCTTTCACTGTACATCTTAAGTCTAAGGAATATTCACATAATAATATCATCTTGTATTGTTAAATTATTTTTCCATTTGGATAAAAGATGTCATGTTTTCTTTTCAGTAAAAATACTGAACATCTAAAAGCTTTTTTTTTTCATATATTTGTCCTGTTGTTTTGTGGGAAAATTCATCTTTTTTAATTTATCCAGTAGTAAATTGGTTATCTTAATTGTCATATAAGCAAAAGCATCTATGAATAATTTCCATATGGGCTGGCACTTTGGGTAAGTTCCTATCTCCATTATCATCTCACTGCCTAGCAGTGATTAAGGATTTAGAAATGAATTAATTTGCAGATTGTGTTCTGGGGGTAAGAATTAGGTAGACTATTTTATTTTATTTTATTTTATTTTTTTATCCTCTTCATCACTGATCGGCTCGTTAGCCGCTTGGGTGATCGGTCACGTCTCTGTTACGCACTGTTGGCAAGTACTGGGCATGCATCGGCTCTTGAATGTACCTGAACCTGCTCCAGTGTTGGTCAAGTCTGGTCTTGAAAGAGCTCACACTCGGTGCCGTCACAACACTTTCTGGTAGATTGTTCCAAGAGTTCACAACTCTCGCTCCGAAAAAGTTTGCCCTCACAGTTTTCTGGACCTGCAGTTTCTTCAATCTTGAGCTGTGACCCCTTGTGGGGCAAGCGTCCGCCAGCTCCAAGTAAGGACACTCGACTGAGTAGTACCCCTTGAGATGCTTATACACCTCAATTAGGTCGCCCCTTGCCCGTCTGTAGTAAAAGCTAGGCAAGTTCAGGCGCTCCAATCTCTCAGGGTAGCTGAGGTGCCGAAGTGCAGCACCAGTCTGGTGGCCCTCCTTTGAACATTTTCAACCAACTGACAGTCCCTAGCATATCTCGAGGACCAGACGGGGCGACAGTACTCCAGAAGATTGTTACGAGGGACGGACCATCTAGACATCTGAACGACCTTCTTATAAGACCCAATAATTTATTGGTGAGTTGTCCAACCTTTTTGGGATTTTTCTGAACAGAGGGACACATCTTTCTAAGGAGATTGTTATTATTGTGTTGCCAACAACTTCTGCATCTTCAAAAGTTTATTCCAAGTGTACTATGTATTTGAAATACTGGTACATTTACAGTACAACACATTATAGTACATAGTAAGTAGAATTTCTATAAAATGGATTTACGCGGTTTTTGTTTACGCGTTTGGTCATTTACGTGGCACCTTGCCAGAATGAAATGTTTTAATTATGTGGTAAATTTCATCATTTACGCGGGTGAAGTATAATTTGTGTATTTACTGAAGATATATATGTTTTTAGCTCATAAAATATATAATTTACATTGCTGGAATCCTTACAAAATGGTGATCATTTTAAATATAAACATCCTAACATTTGCATTAGACATACAAATTTTAGATGTAATTTAAGAAGATGATGAAAATGAGCAAAAATTTTATCTTTTGTCTAAAATATATGACGTTTACATTCAAAATATTCCCTGTCCTACAAGGAATCCAGCAATGTCATTTATAATATCCTATCTTTAGTCTGAGGTATTATTTATTACTAAAAATGTAAATATACTGTTTTTTCCCAAACATTTCTCTGGTAGGGAGGGAAGGTGGGGGGTAGGGAAGGAGAGAGGGAGGGACCCAGCAAGCGTGGGAAGAAGGGGGAGTTGAGAACATTATTTGAATGGACATTAAACAGCGACTGTATTTCTCTTAAATATTAATTGTGTGTGCATACCATCATAAAATTAAGATGTTATTTTTACTACAACATACGTATTGTGTCTGAAAAAGTGTAGTTTGGGGGTTGGCCCAGTCTCTATTTCAATTAATCCCATATGTTCTGTTATTTCGTTTACGCATTTCTCGTTTTACGCGGACCTCCACGGGTTCAATTGACCGCGTAAATCCAGACTATACTGTATATTTTCTTTATTTTTAGGCCACATTAGAGTATTGTATTGTTACGATTTTTCCACAACTTTTATAGCATTATTGTTGTCTTTTAGTGTGTTTTTGTTATGAAAAGGTGCCAAAATTAAGGTTTTTGTGAACTCTAGAAATGGTTGTGGAAATCACCCTCACTGTCCCCATTCACTATGCGATTTCAAGTTCTGCAAGCTTTTCACAGAATGTAACCCTCTCCTGAAGTGAGGGTTAGGTGTATACTGTATGTTTCTACCACTTCATTATGAGGAAAGACCAGTATAAAATTTTTAATATTTTACCTTACATTAACTATTTATCTTTTTCTTAAGCCCCTCATCCCCAGGTAGAATCAGTTGTGGTATCACCTGCTGTTGTAGGGGACGACTTTACCATCACCTGCACTGTCTCTAACTGGAAAGGACAGGTAACTATTGAACATATTTCCTCCATTTTTAATAATTGAGCCCCACTGAATGATTTTTGCATGGCCATTAAAAATGGACATACAGTACAGTATTCTTATCCATATTGTATGTTAGTTTTGCATAACAGGTGTCTGATTGTCCATAAATTTTGTCATGAATAGATGGTTACAGATATTTGCATAAAAGTTCACATGGCATTGTGTCATCACTAGATGAAGTGAGAGTGAGATCCCTAGACATGATGACCTGTCAGGGTCATTGTAGATACGGCACACTGAAATATTAAATCTTAGTATACAAGGAAGCAGTGAGGACAGCATTGCATTTAACCATCTTCTCTTCTTGAGCTGTAAAGTAAGTACCCATTCGCATGAAGTGCAAAACACCAAATTCAACCCTGTGTGTCAAAGATCAAGGTTACACACAAATAAGAATTCAAAACTTTGCTCAGAATCATAGACATGCGTTTGCCATTATACAAGGTGTGCGTAAATTCTTGTTCCAGCTATAAAAGTTAATTACAACCACAAAGAGGTAGATTTATTTATTTTATTTTATTTTTTAGCATTTTTTTTTTTTTTTTTTACAAATTCAGTTTTAAATGTTCTTCAATGTTACTTTTACTGAAAACATGATTTTCTTCATATGTCTGCTTCTTTCAGTCTACTGGCTTCGTTGTGCTAAAACTCTAGGAATGTGCAGTATCGGCATACACCATCCACAATGGCTGCCAATCCTTAAAAATAAAAGACTTTTAAACATCTTTCCCCAATCTCTAGCCTGTTATTGTTAAAACTTCTAGGAATTTTCCTTCTCATAAATGTGTTGCACATTAATAATTGTTATCGCAGAAAGAGTCACAAGTAGTAAACTGAGAATAAACCTTTGAAAAGAATAACCAATCTTATAAAAATCAGGTTATTAGTTGCGTATGAGTTTACTGTATCTTATTACCTAATTGGTTTGTTTCAAAATATTATTCTGTCTGTAATTGGATGTGACTTTCGATTTGTTACTCTTATTAATATTGTTATCAAGCTGATAATATTGTTTTAGGTATTGTTCGTCCACAACAGGGAGCCTGTAAACCTAGAACAAGGCTCGCGCTATTCAGTGGACACCCAACCACAAGGACAAGTTAATGGAGAGTGGCATACTGTGGCACATGCCCTCTCAGTCAGACAAGCAACACTTGGAGACTCAGGAGTTGTGGAGTGTTACCTTACCCCAGATATTTTTGGTTCAACTGATGTTATGATTAAAGGTATGTTTAGCTATTGTTGCTGTATTGGAACCTTACAATGATAGTGTGGTGAACATAATTATATATATCCTTGCTGTTTAATAACTTCACTTTTCCCTTTGAAGAAAATATGGGTAGTTTTGTTAATTATCTTTTATTTTATATGAGCAGATTTTCTTCAATAATTATACATGCTCTACCTGTAGGGATAACAAATAGGCCCTAATTTATGAGCAAAACCCCTGAAGTTGCAAAAAAAATACAGTAGACCTCTGATTTAACATTATTGATGCAACATGACACCCTATATTACTCCCATGTTTTCAGTTTAGCACAGCCAAGTTTGATTTGGTGCAGTGTAGGCCCACAGCTCAGTCACATATAAAGCAAAAAATTTGATGTTCTCTAATTTCTATCTTCCTTGAGAACTGATCCATGGCATTTGTTGTCGAGGGATTGATCTCTCGCTCTTTCTCTACCAATAGTGGTGTCCCACGGGGTTCTGTTCTTTCACCTACTCTCTTCCTTCTTTTTATCAATGATTTACTTCACACTACAACTAATTCTATCCATTCTTACGCTGATGATTCTACTCTTCACATTTTTCCCTCCCCCCTAATTCTCAAACTAAATGTGTTTCTAGAGCTGATGCCATTTCATCTATCAATGCGGATCTGTGCAGCATCTTTGAATGAGGAGGTAGAAACTTGGTTAAATTCAACAGTAATAAAAGTCAGTATTTACCAATTACACTTTCCAAATTAAGATGATCTCCCACCAATCACATTTCAGGATGCAATGCCAAGTTCTAAAATAGATATGCTAGGCCTCACCATATCCTCTAATATGTCATGGAAGCCGCACATCCACAAAATTGCTAAAGCTGCCTCCCAAAAGCTGGGAATGCTGTACAGATGCCATAGCTACTTCACTCGTAAGCAGTTGCATCAAGTTTATAAGGGATTCATTCATTCTAACTTAGAGTACTTCTGTCCAACTGTTAGATAGGGTGGAATCAAAGGCATCTTGTCTTATTAACTCTCCTCCTTTAGTTGATAATCTCTCTTCGCCACAAAGTTGCTTCACTCTGTCTTTTATAGGTACTATAACGGGCAATGTTTGGTTGATTTGGCATCCTGTGTACCGCCGGCAAGGCCATGGGCTCGTAACGCTCGTCTTGCAGTGTCCACCGCTTCTGTGTGAATGTCGGTCACACAAGAATAACCCGTTATAGTACGTCCTTCTTTCCTCACACAGCCAAACTGTGGAATGCTGTGCCTTCTTCTGTGTTTCTCCACTCATACAATCTGTCTCACTTTAAAAAGCTGGTTTTCCAGCATCTTCGTGGTGTAGGTTAATATAGTCTTTTTTCTTCTACTGTATTTTTAATTGCTTTATTCTTTTTCTTTTCTTTTTTTTTCGCCCCCCAGGCTCCGTTGTGGGTTGATGACCTGTGCCCAGGTGGGCTAATCCCCATAAAAAAACAATAGTATTGTAATGATTTTATTTTATTTTATTTTATTTTTTTCTCAAACAAGCCTGGATAAATGATAAACATGCTGAGCTAGCAAGAGATGCTGGGTAGGTTGGCTTGCACAAGACTGAGTCCCATGCATAAGGTTGGATCAGGGGGTCAACCACGTATAAGTGGGTTCGCATATTCTGGATACACATACTTTGATACCTTACTGTATTTTGAAAATGCACAAGCTCTTACATTTAGGATCTTGTTGTTTCTATCATTTAAAGATATTCTTCTCTTCATTGCCAAGTTTGTGCAATAGAAGGGCATGGGATGGCTTATTAGAAGTTTATAAACACCTCAAGAGGTTTAAAACTCAGTCACATATACATATCTGGAGCTAGTTAATGACTGCCACATTGTTGGTCACAATCTCAAGTTAAAGGAGCTGTATGTACAGAAAACTGCCAGAGCTAAGATTTAAAATTTTAAATTAATATACCCTGAAGATTGACTAATAAATTAATTATTTTCTCAAAGATTTATGACTATTGTTTTAGAACACACTGGACTGATATCAACCCCAGAGAGTACTGACAAAATCAGTCAGCCAGACCCAACATTATCCCCTGGAAAGATTGTGGAGTTGAGGGGTCCTTCCATTGTGACGGAAGGGGCAACACTTCTACTTACTTGCCTTGTCAGCCCAGTTGTCCAACATGTAAGTATAAATTGGTTGCTTTCCTTAAACAAAGTGTAATGCTAATTTTCAAAGGAAGGCAGATATTAGATTCAATAAGCTTATCTGTATAATATAAGTACAGTATGGAGATATTGTACAAGGTAGTTTGTCAACTACTAAGAACACAGTACAGTACATTGTATTTATAGTTTGAATAGCTGTTTTATTGAAATGGAAAAAAAAGAACATTAGTTTAAACATACCTTTACTTTATTTTTTATGTATAATACTGTACTAAAATATAGTACATTGCCCGAATTACTGTACAGTAAAGCCTCAAATAATGATGGTAATGTGTCCTCCAATATTGCAGTGTAAGGTGAATCATCGTATCGTGAATCATTAATCAACAATAAAATAAAGCAATACTAATGAGATGCATTCCCAAGTGTGACCTTTTCGTATCTTTTGTGAGGCTTTTTACCCTCTTTTCCCCCAAAACAATACTGTACAATTAATGAAAAATGCAAACTATATTCTTTAAATAATGTTTATGAATGCACCTTATACAGTATAAATGAATAATAATATGGTTACACAAGAGGAGATGGGAAGCCATTGTTTCCATTAGTGTTTACAACCGGGAGTCCGGGACGATGGTTCTACATGAGAAAATTAAGAAAATATGACCCTGGTTGTAGCTGTAGTAAAATTAATGTAAAAAAATTAATATATATGTTTTAAGTAATGTTATTTAATGTAAATAAATGGAACAATAGAAGTAGCTAACCACGAATGGCAAAGAAAAAAGTGAGATGGATTGGAAACGCCAACATATACGTGCGCATTTAAGGATACCGCGTCATTTATCTTTTTAAGAATATGTACAAAAGATTCATTATTGTTTATTACTGAATATGTATTTGATTGAATTAATGTTTATATATGTGAAATGAACAATGCAATTCATTAATAATATGTAGAATATTCAAACACACAAGAGGAGACAAGACTGTTGAAGTTACAGTGTTCATTTTTGGTGGCTATCAACGAAATATGATGCGAGAGGCTCAGACAATGACACAAACGTTGTTGCTCTTTCCAGTATTTTGGGACCATCCATAAAAACAAAACAAACATAACATGCGCAGCAAAGTGGCACTTTATTCCACAACTAACACAAAACATAATAGAACATATTCACATAAATATGGGGTAACCTAGTTTATATCTAACACCCCCTCTTAAACTAGGGTACAACTCTTATAATACCAAACATACTGCAGATTAATAATACCATCTTCTACTTCTGATCTAATAAAATGGTACTTAATATCGATATGTTTTGACCTTTGATGATGTACAGGGTTTTTAGCCAATGCAATAGCTCCCTGATTATCAGCATTCAATGTTACAGGTTCTCTATTAGAATTTTGCCTATCAGTTAACAACTGTCTTAAGAAATTAGCCTCTTGCATAGCTGCTGTTAAAGCCATATATTCAGCTTCACATGAGGACAATGCTGCAACATTCTGTTTCTTAGATTTCCAAGAAATCTATGGACCATCTTCATTTAACTGGTAACTGTAACCTGTAATACTATGCCTGTCTTCCGATGCACCCCAATCTGAATCACAGTAACCAATCAATTTCAATGGGCTGTTTGATTTCCTGAACTTTAAGTTATAATGAATTGTACCTTTAACATATTTCAAAACATGTTTAGCAACTCAAAAAGTGCTTTTGTAGGCTTTGCTATATGTTGCGACAATTTTGAAACAACATAAGATAGATCCGGTCTTGTACCAGTCATTACATAGATCAAACTGCCGACAATTTTTCTGCACAATCTAGTATCACACAGTCCTTTAGAGTCACTACTAATGATTTTACTTACTTTTAAATCACATGGTATTGACTTAGGGTTGCAGTCAGACATTTTAAATCTATTAAGTATTTTCTCTAAATATTTAGTTTGATTCATCTTAATACAGTCTTCTTCAAATTTGAACTCCATACCTAAGAACCAAGATAATTTTCCTAAATCTTTCATTTTAAATTTATTACACAGGGAAAGTTTTACATCGCCAAGTATGTCACCATTACGAGCTGCAATAATTATATCGTCTACCCAGATAATAATAATTGCCTTCACCTTGTTTACAATTCTAGTATACACACAATAATCTACAAGAGATTGATGAAAACCTTCACTCAAAAGAAAATTATGTAGCATGTTGTTCCAATTTTGCCACTTAGTTTCAAACCATATAAAAATTTCTTTAATTTACAAACAAAATTTTCACCTTCTATATTACTTTTAACATAACCTTCTGGCTGTTCTAAATAAATTTCACAATCTATATCAGCATTCAAATAAAGTTGTCTTGTATTGCTTGTTGCAGTAACATCCTTATTGATGTAACACGAGCTGTTGGTGAAAAGGTTTCTTGATAGTCCACATCTTGAACTTGTGAATAGCCTTTAGCTACATGCCTAGCTTTGAATTTTTCTTCACTATCAGGACCAAGTTTCACTACATAGACCCATTTTCCACCAACTACTGATCTACCTTCAACTGGTGGCATGAGTTCATATGTGTTATTGTCTCTTAGAGCCTCCATTTCCTCATCCATAGCTTTATGCCACTGCATGGACTCTGGAGATGAGACTGCCTCTTGGTAGTTTCTTGGAATATCTGCAACTCTGTAGCAAAAATCAACAGAACACCTGGAAATATTGGAAAAGTTAGGTTCCATAACATAATCTTCCATATGTTTGGGTTTTTGTCGTTGCCTCGAAGGGTATCTGTTTTTCTGTTTTTCAGTGTCTTCTGCAGCTGTCTCATTTGTAATAACTTCAGTTTCTGGCTCTGGGTTAGGTGCTGTATATCTTTTATATTCATTTTTGACGTCTAACACCACATTTTCCTGATTAAAATTGTTACTGAATTTTACACATCTAACTCTCTTAACATCATTTATCTCTGGAAAATATACGAGATAGGCTGGACTCAGTCCATCATATCCTGTGAACACTCCTTGTTCACTGCGAGGGTCCAACTTCTTCTCGGTCTGGACATAAGCATGGCATGGACTTCCAAATACATGCATGTGACTCAGATTTGGCCTTTTTCCAGTGAACATTTCATAGGGAGTTTTTCCAATCCTCGGGTTGTAGCATCTGTTATGAATGTATCCTGAAGCTTTCGCAGCATAAGTCCATAGAGTCTTAGGTACCTTTGCTTCCAACAATAAGCATCTGGTCATATCAAAAATAGACCTCCAAGCTCGCTCCGCTGTACCATTTTGATGTGGTGAATATGGAGCAGAAAATTCATGCTTTATGTGATTTTTAATCATTAGAGTTTTAAATTAAGTGGAAGTGAATTCACCACCATTGTCAGACATTAGTCGTTTGACAGATCCATATGGAGCAGAATCCGCCAAGAATTTTTCTGTAGCTGCCAAAGTATCACTCTTAGATCTCAAAAAGTAAATCATTATCAGAGAAGTCCTCTACAAAGGAAAAGGCATACTTAAAACCTTCTCTTGCAGTAGGGTCTACAGGACCTGCTAAATCAGAGTGTACAAGTTCTAAATTGGTTGTAGCTCGCTGATCAGGTTCTCTACTTCTAAACTGAGACATTTTACCTGAAATGCATGCATTACAATCAAAATTATTCTTATTTGTAATGTTCATACCATCAGCAACATTTTCTAATTTAAGTATATCTTTCACATTACAATGACCTAAAATTTTATGCCATTCCTCAATAGTATGACTGCTGCTTTTCTGTGAGTTCACATTATTCAGATAATACAGTTTGCCATGTTTTTTAATATCAAACACTGTACTATCTGAGGCCTTCAATTCTGCAGAATTTGGGGTGAAATTTACTGATGCACCTTTCTCTGTGGCTGCTAAAATAGAAAATATATTCTGTTTATAGAAAGGAACACATAGAGCATTTTTGATTAGAACTTTATGACTATTACCATGAACATCAATAATTTCAACTCTCGCATCACCTCTACCTGATACAGTACCATTTTGCCTACTACCATCTGCCAATTCTATACAATGGTTAGAAGAATCAAAATTCTGATCAAATTTTACAAACTGGGATTTATCACTTATATGTGATGTTGCTTCACAGTCTACCAACAGGCATTGTGTATTTACATCACTACTTACATTATAAACAGAACTGACACTAGCTCTAAATGCAAGTGAATGGCTATGTTCTTCACTGTTAGTTACAGACTTTACTGAATTATTTCTGCGGCAATAATTTGTATCATGAGTAGGGGATTTGCAGTTATCACACCACCTACTAGGCTTTGCTTCATTAGGATTATATTTGTCTTTACTTCTGCACTCAGATTTTCTGTGTCCTAATTTTCCACAGGAAAAGCATTTAATATTCATATTTTTTAATTTTGTATTCATCACTTTATCTGCATCGTCACCTTGTTGTTGTTGACACTTTTCAGTTTCTTCAAAACTTCTTAATGCTACTTTAAATTCAGAGAAACTAACAGCTGTTTCTTTCTGCGTCACAACAGTAGAAAATGTCTTATATTCTAAAGGTAATCTTTTTAATAACATTGCTACAGGTAAACTGTCACTGATGGTTTCACCTGCTAGTTTCAGTGAAGCTGCTGCCATTTCAGCCCGTATCACGTAGTCGGTAATGGCCTCTTCATTGGATTTCTTGAGTGACGTCAGTTCTGTATACAAGGCAATAATTCTTGGCTTGCTGCTGCCTAGATAATGTTCACGGAGAATCATTAATGACTTCCTACCGTCATCTTTGGCATCTCGGATGATAAGAAAAAGACTTCTATCGTCGAGGTACTGGACTAGTTCTGCAAACACTTCAGCGTTCTTCTCCGTCACCTCTGCACTGTCTCCATCTGATTGACAACATTGAGAAGTTTTTGAAGTCTTAAGTGGCCTAAGAACTTCACTTCCCACAACTCATAATTGCTTTCATCACCATCAAACACCAACCTGTGCCTGGGCCCATAACCTGTTGAAGTTACAGTGTTCATTTTTGGTGGATATCAACGAAATATTATGCGAGAGGCTCAGACAATGACACAAACGATGTTGCTCTTTCCAGTATATTTTGGAACCATCCGTAAAAACAAAACAAACATAACATGGGCAGCAAAGTGGCGCTTTATTCCACAACTAACACAAAACATAATAGAACATATTCTCATAAATATGGGGTAACCTAGTTTATATCTAACAAAGACGGCATTGTTTTCGTGAGTGACAATGGTTCTACATAAGAAACTGAAGAAAATGAAACCCTGGTTGTAGCTGTAATGAACTTAATGTAAAAAATTTTTTTTTACCTGTATGTATGTTTTAAGTAATGTTATTTAATGTTAATAAATGGAACAATAGAAGTAGCTAACCACTAATGGTAAAGAAATAAAGCAAAACCTGTAATTGCATACAGGTGAAAACATATCGTCATTTCTCTACATAAGAATATGAAAGCAACACTTATTTACTGTTCATATATGTTTTAAATAATATTTACGAATGTTAAACAAAAATTCTACTCACCAACAGTGGTAAAGTCTAAAACATAAGGACAGCCAATGATGTTGTGTGAGTTTTTACTCAGATGATGAAGTCATCAGGTTCGACTCTGGTTGAAGCTTTAGCTTTCCATAAAGATGTCATAGCTGTTGCTGAAACTGTTACAGAACCTGAAGTTGTTGTTGAAACTGCTTATGATGCTGAATTTGAGGGTGTAGCTGATGATGGTTTTCTCCTTCAAATAATAAAGCTGTCAAAAGAACCTTGCACAGCTGCTTTCTTTTCTCATTATACACCTTTATATAGAGGTCATTTGCATTTATTTTAATTTTAATTCTTTGTTTTGTTAATGGATCCACTTCAGAAAATATGTTCATTGTTTGCTCCATATAATATCCACCGACCTCTCACCTTTATCATATCGTTTTAACACATCTAGTTTCTCGGGTAAGCTTATACACTTTCTATTAGCTTTTGAACCAGCACTACCATCACTTGCTCTCTTGCTCATGTTGAATAGGGATGCAAAAATGCCGTAAGAAATTTGAAAGTTTTTCTCCTTTTCCTGTTCAGATGCGTGAAAACAAAGGACCAGCTAGCTGCGAATGTTTAAAAGTATGTACTAGTGATGCTGGCGACACCACTAACAAGCCTGACAGCCTCCGTGCGCAAGGAGTGTATTTTTTTTTTTTTTAATACATCCCAGGATTAGTTATTATTTATATGAATTCATTTTTTTTTTTTTTTTTCTAATTTCGTTGTCTATACAAAGAAAATAATGGCGTAAATTGAATTGGGTCCTTTTTCCTTTTATCCTCTTCACCACTGATCGGCTCGTTAGCCGCTTGGGCGATCGGTCACGTCTCTGTCTCGCACTGTTGGCAAGTACTGGGCATGCACCGGCTCCTGAATGTACCTGAACCTGCTCCAGTGTTGGTCAAGTCTTGTCTTGAAAGAGCTCACACTCGGTGCCGTCAACACCTTCTGGTAGATTGCTCCAAGAGCTTATAACCCTCACTCCGAAAATGTTTGCCCTCACCTAAATTAACCAGGGTCTTAAATATGAATCCTTCGTTGGTAGAACGGTCGTTATCGTAGGCTTTACTGTACTTGCAATTTTTTTTTAACATTGTTGTAGCACACACACACACTGCATCCTTGACCACCAGAGGGTCAAGACCTATCCAGCACTGCTGCTGTTGCAGCAGCTGCCAGGACTAATTGTTGACCCATACCCCCAATTCCCTCCCCTCAACCCATCCTCCCCACCAGGATGTCAACAAAATCCTGCCAAATGTGGCAATTTCATTTTGAAAAGTAGTGGGATCAGTGTTAAGCAGTGATGAGGCCAGTGAAATCAGCACTAGTCAGTGGTAGTCGAGAGTCATGACCAGGTTGACCGTCACACCCACAAGTGAGATCCTACCACCCATAGTTAAGCCCCCTGGGAACTGATCATCATCATCTGACCAGGCAGTATAGTGTTAATCAGTCCACTGTGGGAACAACCATTTGTCAGATTTACAACTGGCCATGAGATACACTTAGCAGAGAATGAGGTACTGTGACACCACACTACACCACCCGGTGTCTCGTACTGCAACACCACACCACTTGGTGTCTTGTACTGTAGCACCACACCACACCACCCAGCATCTCGTACTGTAACACCACACCATGCAGTGTCTCATACTGTAACACCACACCACCCAGTGTCTCATACTGTAACACCACACCACCCAGTGTCTCATACTGTAACACCACACCACCCAGTGTTTCATGCTGTAGCACCACACCACCCAGTGTCTCATACTGTAACACCACACCACCCAGTGTCTCATACTGTAACACCACACCACCCAGTGTCTCATACTGTAACACCACACCACCCAGTGTCTCATACTGTAACACCACACCACCCAGTGTTTCATGCTGTACACCACACCACCCAGTGTCTCATACTGTAACACCACACCACCCAGTGTCTCATACTGTAACACCACACCACCCAGTGTCTCATACTGTAACACCACACCACCCAGTGTCTCATACTGTAACACCACACCACCCAGTGTCTCATACTGTAACAACACGCCACCCAGTGTCTCATACTGTAACACCACACCACCCGATGTCTCATACTGTAACACCACACCACCCAGTGTCTCATACTGTAACACCACACCACCCAGTGTCTCATACTGTAACACCACACCACCCAGTGTCTCATACTGTAACACCACACCACCCGATGTCTCCATGACCACATGAGGTCCTTCAGGTCATCTCCTAAGGACAAGTTACTGCACCATGTGGCCTACTTGACCTCACACTGCAGGCCAAGAGACCAGCCCCTGCCATCAACTGTAAGCTATAATTTGTAGGTTCAATTCATGTTCCTTCTCCTTTTAGTAATGAAAGCTTTTGTTAAATGACCCCCCCAACCCCAGTTTTGTTCAATGTATATTTTCAACCTTTTGGCTGTTGGACCTTTTCAATAAACTGTTAATTATTATTACAAACATTATTATTATTATTATTATTATTATTATTATTATTATTATTATTATTATTATTATTATTATTATTATTATTATTATTATACACACACGCATACACAGGGGGAGAGAGAGAGAGATCTTCAGAACTAGAAATGATTATGATAAATAATAGTTTAACTGCATTTTTATGAAATATGTTACAGTTCCGTATAATGCTGTTGCACTTCACATGTCTTTGTCTTGATTGATGGCAGGAGATTGTGCTGATACACGACATCTTCATACTTAATCTTGGGGATGTCAAAATAACTGAGGATCCTCGTGTTGAGGTCGTACAAGATGTATCTACTGATGGATCCAGAATACTTTACCTAAGGATAACCCAGGTATTCTTAGTTGTGCCCAATACTCTCATATAATTGTAATAACATGTATGCAGATTAGATTACCAGCCTCCTTGGTTGTAAACACAGCTTTATAGCTTTAATTAAAGGAAAGAATGCAAGCAATGTATTTGGCATAAGATCTTAGAAGTTTGAGTGAGTAAGAGAGAAGTGCAGTGTATTGACCACATACAATCTTGACAATCAAGATGTAACTTGATTTGTTTAATAGAATGCCAGGACAAAAAGGTTCTTTCCCCAAATAATTATTTTTGTTCAAGAATATGCACCTCAAAAACTTGTTTTCCTTTCTCTCAATATGTCAATGTTGTGATGGTTTTGAATTACCATTTGTGTTGAATTGCAAGCTAAAACTTTATATGACATGCCATAGGGCATGAATAAATTTAAAACTTGAAGGATCAATCACTTAAGGTGCAGTACATTTAAAACAAAAAGTCCTGTATGGAAAATTTAGTCATATGACAATTTTATAATGATGGTAACTATCATGTCAACCCACCTCCAAAATTTAATGAGGCTTTTAGCTCATACCTGATTTTTATACAACTCATTCCGCTCTAAATAATATGAATTGTCAGGCTAAACCTCTTGCTCAATTCTAACTTTTGCCATAGTAATTTGAACCAAAATTCTTTGTTCATGAGGCAAGGCTATTACTTTCTTAATAACAGGTTACAGAGAATGATGGTGGAGAATACCAGTGTGCTACATCAACGGAACCACCAGCTCATTCATCATTGAACATTATTATAAAGCCATCTGAGACTGGTAAGTAAATTTAAACTGAAGTGATTCAGAAATACAGTGGTCCCTCGATTAACGAACACAATTGGTTCCACAGAGTCAGTTGTTAACCAAAAATTTTGTTAACTGAATTTATTATTTCAATGGGATATTAGGTAATTGGTTCCAACTCACACAAAAAGTATACATACAAAGTACTGTACTGTATACTGGTAATATAATTAACAAAACATTAAATATAAACTAAATACAGTGCAATATAGTCTGGATTTATGCAGTTTTGGTTAACGCGTTTGGTCATTTAAGCAGTGCCTTGCCAGAATTGAAATGCTTTAATTACGCGGTAAATTTGGTCATTTACGCGGAGAGTGGCTGGAGGTCCAGACGCGCCGCGCCATTTTGTATTCAAGCAGCCCATGCTGGACCACAAGCTGGGGGAAGCAGCGCGAGTAAGGTTGCGCAGTATGTCTCTGTTGCGTTATCGGTGACGTCATATGACGTATCGGACTGTGATTGGGCCACGCATCCATAACTCCCACGCATTCCCTCCGCCTCTAGCTGTGATTGGTCTAATGTAACATGACGTACCCTGTCACCAGAGGGTAGAAGTCGCTGACCTAGCAGGGCCTGTCTCATTGTTCTCAGTCCACGTATACAGTTCTCTCTTGTGCCCGCTATTCCCCTCACAACTCACAATGGCTTCCGCGGGACCCCCACCACCAGAGATAAACATTGAATTACCTGGACCAAGCCATGATTGTGTGAAGGAAATCATTGAGTTGGGGGAGAAAATTAAGCTCATCCTTGACAACGACCCAGACAAGCATCGGTATGAAGCGTCTAATAACCATCTGACGAAAGTTATGGAGCCGTATATCCAGATCTATCTCGACAACATCAATGCTAGTCGTCAACGTAGTATTGAGGACTTCCTCGCCCGCAACCCACCACAACCACTGCCAGCCCAAGTCAGTGATAGTGATATTGACAGTGAGGATATAGACTTTGAGAGCTTTGTCTGGGAGGCCCTGCAAACCTCTGCGAGTAGTGAAAGTGATTCACCGGAGGGCAACTAATCTGCCCTCTGCCTCGGAACCAGCCGCCATCCACGTGTGCCGACCCAGCTTTTCTACTGACGTAAATGTTAAAAAACCTAATATTATTGATATTTCTCGTAATTATTAATTATGTGTGCATACCACCATAAAATTAAGATGTTATTTTTACTACAACGTACGTATTGTGTCAGCAAAAAGTGGAGTTTGGGGGTCGGCCTAGTCTCTCTTTCAATTAATCCCATATGTTCTGTCATTTCATTTACGAGTTTCCGTTTTACGCTGACCTCCACGGGTTCAATTGACCGCGTAAATGCAGACTATACTGTACTGTATTGTACAGTATACTATACAATAATAGATAATAAACAATAGAATACTGTATTTTAACTTGCTTTGAGTATGCATGTCGTATTCCCAGCAGCTTTGTTTACATATCAAACAGCTGATTGTAGAGGCAGTCGATGATGACATGCCATATTCTTTACAGAGTGCATTGGCTCTAATGCCTTCTTCATGTTTCATTATAATTTCTACACTGTATATTATCAAATGTTAACTAAATTTCAGAATGACCAATAATTTCAATGTAAAAATGCAAAAATATTCAAGAGACCAAGTAACTCAATGTTCACTCTACTGTAAACAAAGTTAACTGAGAAGTGTTGGCTGGTAATTCCATCAGCTGATGGGTACACAAAAACTGTTCCCTGTACTGTATACAGTATATTAACAATATGTTAACTAAATTTCAGAATAACCAATAATTTTAATATAAAAAATGCAAGAATATTCAAGAGCACAACTTTCTTGATACTTACTCCACTGGAAACAAATGTAAACATAGAACCAATTACCCCTGTACTTTTTTTTTTTACATACACACACAATCGTTCATACAGAATGTACAAAAAAATTAACAAAAGAAATGATTATCATAAGGTCAAAAACATAAAGAGATTAAACATTTCTTACATCTGCAGGAGTTAGTCTGTGATATTGAGAGGGGAATGGGGTGTGGAGTCGGGGATATCAGCCTTCCCCTACGAGGCTAAGCTGTAAGCTGTGTTGTTATTTTTAAACTCGTTATTTCAGGTAGATATACATAATTTTTTTTTTATGGTTACATACACACAAACTTTCATACAGAATGTATAAAAGAAAATGATTATCATAAGGTCAAAAACAAATAGAGAATAAAAATTTCATATGTGCTCAATAGTTAACATGCAGTGTTGAGGATTCAGCCAATTCAGTGTCCCTCATGTAGTGAAACTATTGCCAACTACCAATGCAGTATTTTTTTTTATTTGTATAATTGTTATTTATTTATTTTTATTTATTTTTCACCTCTTCACCAATTGATCGGCTTGTTAGCCGCTTGGGTGATCGGTCACGTCTCTGTTACGCACTGTTGACAAGTACTGGGCATGCACTGGCTCCTGAATGTACCTGAACCTGCTCCAGTGTTGGTCAAGTCTGGTCTTGAAAGAGCTCACACTCGGTGCCATCACAACACTTTCTGGTAGATTGTTCCAAGAGTTCACAACTCTCACTCCGAAAAAGTTTGCCCTCACAGTTTTCTGGACCTGCGGCTTCTTCATTCTTGAGCTGTGACCCCTTATGGGGCGAGCGTCTGCCAGCTCCAAGTAAGGACACTCGACTGAGTAGTGCTCCCTGAGATGCTTATACACCTCAACCAGGTCACCCCTTGCCCTTCTGTAGTATAAGCTAGGCAAGTTATGACGCTCCAATCTCTCAGGGTAGTTTAGGTGCCGAAGTGCAGGCACCAGTCTGGTGGCCCTCCTTTGAACATTTTCAACCAACTGAATGTCCCTAGCATATCTTGGGGACCAGACAGGGTGACAGTACTCCAGATGGGGAAGCACTTCACTCTTGAAGATCGTTACGACGAACGGACCATCTAGTTATCTGAACGACCTTCTTATAGGACCAAATAATTTATTTGACTGATTTACCTTCTTCCCACAATGGCCCGAGAACTTCAGTTCATTGTCAACACACACCTAAGTCCTTCTCACATTCAGTCTCAAATAGTGCAGTTTCTTCATCCCGTTGAGACATGTGATACGCCTCCTTACCGTTGGTATGCCCCAGGTGCATCCTCTTTCACTTCGTGACATTGAATCTCAGCAGCCATTTCTTTAACCATTCTGGGAGCTCACAGAGATCATTCTGCAGGTCTTCACAGTCCGCATGGTTCTTTATTTCTCGAAATAACTTGGCATCATCGGTAAACATTTACTGGTACTGTACTATAGTATACGCATGACCCTTGTTCCTAATAGCTTTGGATAATGAGGTATATACAGTATATAAAAAAATGTGTGGTGAAAGTTGCCAGCTGGGAACTCATCCCACCTTATTTACATTAATTCTCATTGGGAAAGTTGCCCTGATACTCAGAAATTCCTTATTTGTAATGACTTTTAGGAATGTATCCTTTGCGATAGATACCTGGGGTATTCCTATATGTACACTGTAATAATAAAAGCATTCCTTGATATAGGAGGATCAGTGTAGGAATGGTTTTTCAGGAACAGAACCCTTTTGTAGATTGGGAGATGTCTGTACTAGAAAGGTTTTTGTCATAAATCCTAAATTCTACATTAATATTTTTCAGAAATTCCAGTGGGGAGCGTTACTGAGACACCAGACCCTCACACAACGGAGGATTATACCTCAGGTGATTATTATGTCAAAATTGAAAGTTTTCTAATTTTACACCTGAAAATCATGATAGCAATACATTGCATAGCTTCTTTTGTATGTATCAGAACAATTTTTATTTCTCAGTCTTCTATTATGAACGGGTGACACACTGGATGTACCCAAGAATGTCTGCGGGTAATTTTAAAGTTGCTGGCATTTCGCGGCTGGGACAGGGAGCCATTCGTTATAGAATTGAATTGTATTGAATTGTAACAGTATATTTAGCCAGAAAAATGCAGATACAGAGTGGATAGTAATAACAATATTAACATGGCTGAGCCAGTTGAGAACCTGAGCACTCTTTGAGGCACCTGATATATACTATACATTTATCTCAAGGAAGTATTATGTAACATTTAGTATCATCTGGAATAGTACAATAGCATGGTAGTAATAAGTACATCTCATAGTGTTACCACGGTTATCCTTTAACTGTATTATAAATATATGTGCGTGTGTGTAGACACACACACACACACACACACACACACATATATATATATATGCAAGTAAATCACTGTAGGTACGCATGATCTAGGTATATGCTGATAACCACAAGGAAAGAAGAAAACACGAAGTTCCCAAGCGCTTTCGTGTAATTCACATCTTCAGGGGTGAGTACAGACTAAGGAGGAGTACAAAACAAGGTGTATATATACAGAGGAGGGTGAGACCAGGTCCACAATGGTCAGGTATGAGGTAATGACCCTACTAATCTTTAAATAGCACGGCAACGGTCGGTAATCAGGTCAGAGGGTAAGGTGACCCAACCTTCTCACCTGGTTACAAATCTTCTTAATTACAAAATTATTCAGTTTGTACATGCCATTACTCAAATTCATGTTGAATGCTTCGGTATGTTTAATGAGACTAGATTCTATGATGTTCCTACTATCAATTGAATTACAAGGTAATATTGAGGAGGCATTATCCCAGTCAATGCAATGCTTGTTATCCCTCAAATGAACAAACAGAGCATTGGATTCCTGGCCTGTCCTAACACTATATTTATGTTGTTTAAGTCTAGTTACAAGATCTTTACCTGTCTGGCCTAAGCTAAACATATTACATTCCTTGCAAGGAACTTTATAAATGCAACCAATTGTGTTGTTGTGGGAGTTCTTGATTAACATTTGTTTAACAGTGCATGAGTTTTTAAATGCCACATTGACTTTCCAGGTTTTTAGTTGTAAAGGAATGTGTGAGAAATTTTTGTGAAATGGTAATATTAAGATATTCTTATGGTCATGGGTGGGCTTGGGATCAGTTCTATAAAATGTTTTCTTAGTAATGTTTAGGCATTTGTCTATGAAAGATCTAGGGTATTTAAGGTTTGAGCCAATATTATAGATATATTTATATTCCTCATCAATGAATTCCGGACTGCAAATTCTCAAAGCACGTAAAAACATTGTTGAAAATACTGACTGTTTGACTCTATTATGGTGGGCAGAATAATAATGAATGTATGAACACACATTAGTTGGTTTTCTATAAATACTGAACTTAAAAGTGTTGCCTATTCAGGTCGGCCCTGGGGTCCACAACCTTCCCGACCAGTGGGACCCATTCGAGAAGGCCCCGCTTCAATATTAATATCAACTGACATATGAGAATAAAATAGAATGAATAAAACAGATCAAGAATGAGTATGGTTATATTTGTTGTGTTGTCAATAGTAAGAGAGACAATTGAGACCCTGCAATTGTGTGTAAATGAGGCAGAAAGATAGATCAGCAACCTGGGACTTGGTTACAATTTTCATAATGCCATATGGGAGCAGGGTCTACCATTAGACAATATACTGTACATAATGTACAATATATTGTCTAATGGTAGACCCAGGTGGTAGTGTCTCCCTGTTTGGTAGCACTTCAAAGTTTTGCCTGTGATGCCATGCTCTAGGATTTTAGAGTCTAGCTATGCATGTGGGACCTTCTCAGTTATCCTAGAAAAATTATATACAACACATTTACTGGTAGACCTTGGTCCATGTAGTCTGTTACCATTTCAAGGAAAATGAGTAAGTTTGTCAGGCAGGATCTTTGGTCATTTGATGACCATGAGAATGCATTCTCACTGCTTGAGTCTTATTTATCAGAGATGATCTCAGTGTGTGTGATGGTTGGTGAAACCATTTTGCCCCTAAGAGGAACAATCATTGGGGCATTTAGGCATGATTGCGTAACATACGAAGTTGGAAATAACGAAAAACCCAGTTTCTACCAATCATTGCTGGTCCATCACCACTCTTATTGTCTTATTATGCCTTATCACATCAAGCTGCCCCTCTTAGGGACAGCACAAGAGGAACTGTCACTATGGCATTTAGGCATGATTGCATAACACACAAAGTTGGAAATAAGAAATAAAAGCACAAAATCAGAGACACATTGTAAGTAACAAGAATTCGCACCATGCCACCGCCCACCAAATTTAAAAGAGCTTTGCCGCTCCAACCCCTGATCGTCGGATCTCCTGAATATCAACAAAAACGTACGGCGTATGTCCTCAATATGTAATCATCGGCTATGCGAATTGGCGATTAATGGGACATTGGTTTTCTGGGTATACCTGTAGGTATATGAATGATAGAAGTCGAACTTTCACTATTTGTGATCTATTATTGTAGTATTGCACTGCACATTATTTCTTTTTATCTTCAAGTCTTTGACTTTGTAGTGTTTCGGGCACTAGTGAATTCTTCAGAAGAACTGGCACTTTTGAGAAACAAAAGACCAGCTATTATTATTATTATTATTTAATAAGGATAATGAAATAATTGTATAAACGTGAGATACGTTATGAAGGGGTAACATTGTGGTTTCAAGGGTTAAGGAATGTGTGTAGAGCAGACATCGTAAGGGTTGATGAATGGTAATCTAATTATTAATGCCCATATTGTACCACTTTGCAGCTGTAAGTGTTACATATGAAATAAAAATAAATTACACATGATGCAATCTGTAAAATAAAATAAAAACATAGTGGAGGAAATAGAATGGGGAGTGTGTTTTGGAAATAAGGAGGCATTATTTATTATTTATTTTATTTTTATTATTTGGAAGCATTTTGTGTGTTTTTAGTGCAGTTTAAGGAGTTTCACTTCTATATTTTCTTCTGTTGATAGAGAGAAGGGGGTAGGATAGATATCAAAGTTTTGATTAAAATGGACAAAAAAAGAATTAACAAGGCAGAGTGCTGAGACTGCCCAATGATTTTAGGAAGCTGAGAGTTTGCAAGGTGTTATATTAAAATTTATGACTTTCAACAGCACCTGGACTACCAGTGATTGAAGGTCTGATACAGGGGGAAAAGGTGGAAGTTGGAAGTTATTTAAAGCTGACATGCATTAGTTATGAAGGTTTCCCACTTGCAACACTGAAATGGTATAAGAACACAGAAGAACTACCTTCTGAGACTCGGTACCTAGGGGACAGATCAGAGGCAGATCTGTATATTGAGGTGCAAGAGTCAGATGATGGAGCAGAATATCACTGTGAAGCATCCAACTTTGTTACAACAGTACCACTCACGGCAGCAATAGTTCTCACCATTAACAAAGGTAAATGGTTACTTTTTATAAGATTAAAAGTTTATTGCTACTTTTGATTTGTTCACTCATTCATTTCACACGTATTCTGTAAATTCCTGTGCATCAAGTTGCATTTAACTGGGGGGGGGGGGTATGAATTATCCACTTATATAAATATTATAACTAGGATTGTGAACATTCTTACAGCTTATCCACAATTATGTAGGGGATGTAATGTAGGTCAAATTTGGCTTAACACACTTGCATAAGTTAGTCAGAATTACCTAATGGCAGCTTTCCATGCTGCATGGTCTCTTGTAACTTCTTTATCAGGTTTTAATCTTTTAAGGTTATTTCATATAGCCTCTTCCCATGTCATTCATGGCCTACCTCTAACTCTCTCCCCAACTACATTCAGATTCTTGTATGTCTTGACACAGTTAGTCTCCTTATTGCAACCTGTGGTAAAATGGCCAGCATGCTCGCCTCGCAAGCGAGCGGACCCGGTTTTGATCCCTGGGCAGGGTGAAACTATGGGCAAGTTTCTTTACACCATTTACCTCTGTTTACCCAGCAGTAATTGGGAAAGTGGATGTTAATCGATTTGCGGATCATGTTCCGTGGTAATGGTTAGCCAGTGCAGTTGGCGAGTTGTCCGGTCTTCTAGGACTATTCCTTGACACTGGGTTATACAACTCATTAACTTAAAGTGTGGTTGTTGTGTTGGTGACAGCTTCTACACCTTAAACTAATTCACGCCTAGGTGGCCCTTGGGCCGGCCATCCTCGTTACACGAGGGGTAACCATTATTATTATTATAGTCTCCTTCATTGTCTCTACGTGTACAATCCACCTCATCCTACTTTAACACAAAACCTGTTCTCATTTCAGCTTGCTCATGCCTGCATATGTTATCCTCATTAACTGCCCTTGTTTCACCTCCATGCAAGTTCACATTTCTCATGCTGGTTGCAAACATCTTCCCTTTCACAGAAAGAGAATGTCCGCTTGCTGTCAATAAAGGCAACACCTCCCTAAAGTCCTTCCAACCACTTCTTACTCTTGCAAAAGAGTTAACTTTAGCACCATCTCCTCAGTTTTGTTTTAGATTTGTATTTTACCTCGCTGGATGATGAATTTTTTTTTTAGGTAGATGTGAGTTCCCTTCCAAGTGGATTGGTGACTGGTACCAGACTGATGTAGACCAGAAAATGATAATCACAACTCAGAAATTTGGCAGAAATACTTGCATCACATCTTCTAGCATGCATTATCTGCTTCAGCATTTGTAAGTACAGTATGAGGTTTACGTCATTAGTGCATTTATAATGTATAGAAAACTCAGTCCCTTTTTTTATACATTGCAGGGAACTAGTGCATTATGGTATCCCTATAGTGTAATTATGTGAGAAGATAATAATGAATAAATAAAAACAGTCCATCCCCGCCACCTCCAACACGTTTGCATATGAATTGCATCTCTTGTCCTTATTTGCTCTCGTTAGGCCAATATCAAAACTGATTAAACGACTATACAGTATGCTCATTAAAGACAATACAGTATTTTAATGTTAAATAAGCCAGTATGTTTGATAAAAAATTAATTAATTTCTAATGAACTACAATCTACTGCAGTATAGTAAGTCCTCGCTTAATGTCGGGGTTACATTCCTAAAAATGAGAAGTTATACGAAATACCATTAAGCGGATCAATTTTCCCCATAAGAAATAGATAAAATAGGAAGGTTACATTCCTGAGCCTCCCTTTGCCCCATGGAATATATTAAATACAGTGAACCCTCGCTTTACGCGGTTTCACTTTACGCATTTCCACATTTACTCGGTACCCTGCCAGAACCGGAATTCCCACTTTACAAGGTGCATCTACTGTACTCATATACGTGGGTGAAGTATAATTTTTTTATTTAGCTCATAAAATTCATACAAATTATCCGGCCAGAATATAATTTACATTGCTGGAATTCTTACAATTTGATGATCATTTTGAATATAAGCATCATAGATTTTGCATTAGACATACAAATTTTAGATCTAATGCAAGTATTTTGTTTACTCAGAGCAAATATGTTATCTTTTGTGCAAAATATATGAAGTGTATATTCAAAATATACCTGGTCTTGCAAGGAATCCAGCAATGTCAATTATATTATCCGAACTTTAGTCTGAGGTATTATTTATTACTAAAAATGTAAATATACTGTTATAACCCAATCATTTCTCTGCTAGGGAGGGAAGGTGGGGGTGAGGGGTAGGGAGGGAGGGAGGGACTCAGGGAGCAGGTGGGAAGAGGGGGGGAGGTGGGGTATTTTGATTGACAGATAGTATTTCGGTAAGTATATTTTGTTTATTTATTGAAGATATTTGTTTTAGCTCATAAAATTCATACAAATTACCAGGCCAGAATATAATTTACATTGCTGGAATTCTTACAATTTGATGATCATTTTGAATATAAACATCATAGATTTTGCATTAGACATACAAATTTTAGATCTACTTTAAGTATTTTGTTAACTCTGAGTAAATATGTTATCTTTTGTGCAAAATATATGACATTTATATTCAAAGTATTCCTGGTCTTGCAAGGAATCCAGCAATGTCAATTATATTATCCTAACTTTAGTTTGAGGTATTATTTATTACTATACCTTAAAATCTAGTGGTTTTCCCCCAAACATTTCTCAGAGAGGGAAGAGCCAGGAGTGTGAGAAGAGGGGGAGGGAGTTGAGTCCATTATTTGAATGGACATTAACTTGGCGACTGTATTTCTATATTTCTCTTAAGTATTAATTGTGTGCATGTACCATCATAAAATTAAGATGTTATTCTTACTAGAACATAGGTATTGTGTCTGAAAAAGTGGAGTTTGGGGGTCAGCCGGTCTCTATTTCATTTAATCCCATATGTTATGTTGTTCACTTTACGCGTTTCTCGCTTTACGCGGGCCTCCGTGGGTTCAATTGACCGCGTAAAGTGAGGGTTCACTGTATACAGAAAATCATTGCCATTTCTAAAGAAAATAGTGCATACATATAGAACTACTAAGTTTGTATTGGTACTTACCGATGGGCGGAGGTGGTAGAGCGAGTGTGTGGTGGGTAGCGAAGCAGAGGCCTCGGATGGTGGTAGGGGATGGAGTATGGCAAGAGCGGAGGAGGAGGGTGGGAGCGGAGGAGGGTCGTAAGTCACTGAAACTGCGCCTAGCCGAGAGAGGGTGGTACGCCGTAGAAAGTAGTCTGCGAAGACGCAAAATGACGTAGTATCGGATCACTGGGACATTAAATGAATTTTTGGTCTCTAAAGTTTAGCGACGTAGTACCGAAACATCGTTAAGCGCTTACTTACTGTACAGTGATATCTCCGTTAGCCAGAATAATTGGTGCAGAGCACTTTCGGGAATGAGAGATTTCCGGGTAACAAGATGACCCTCAAAGCTGGAAAAAAATCCATCATCCCCGGAATTTTCCGGGTAACTGAAAAATGTTCTCGGAAGTTCCAGAAATTGCCCATTACATCATTTCTCGAACCCGGAAAAAAAATACTTCATCACCTGAATTTTCTGGAGTTTTCCGCGTACTGTAATGAAATTTTTTTTTCGGAATTTCTAGAATATGCGCCTGACTTTTATCTCTTGAACCTGGAAAAAAAATCCCCCGTCCCTGGAATTTTCTGGGTACTGGAAAAATTTTCTCGGAATTTTCCGGAATATGTGCCCCTCGGAAAGTCGTTCCCAAAGCCGGAATTTTCCAGAAAATTCCGGTTTTGGGAACAATTTTTCGAGAAAATTTCAATTCCAGGTTTGAGGGATTCTGGCTAACAGAGATATTGTAGCATAGTGTATGTGGCCAGTATTTCTGTACAGTATATTACTTACCGTGTGCATTTGTAATGGCCAATAACTAAAATGATTAAAATTGCTAAATTTGAAGCTAAATAAGCAAAAGATCACTAAATTAACATTTTATCACTGCCCGTGCTACCCATAGCTTTCCACATAAGCTATAACTGTGGTCACATTTCAACCAATTGCATAAGTGAAAATCGCGCATGTGAGACCCATGTAAAATTAGACCCCACTTTATATACTGTATATATACAGTCTCTCCTCGACTTACGACATCCCGGACATACAACGGCCATGGTTGTATAAAAAAATTTCACATTACGTATTTTCGAGTCCCGACGTTTGGTCGTAATGTGACTCCATACGATAGCTTGGGTTGGGCCGCCTCGTGGTGTACAGCATCCATGCCGTAGCCCGCTCAGTTGGTGTTTGGCCGTCATTGGTGTTCATGATCGCTCTGTGTACTGACAAAATTTTCGTTTGTAATTCCCTTTAAAATGGCTGGCAAGCGTAAAAGTGAGAATTCTGGTGGTGCAGAGAAAAAAGAGACAGTCAATTACTTTTGAGATGAAAATGAAAATAATAATAATAATGCAATATGAAAATGGAAAAACGGTAGCAACCATTTCACGCGACCTTGGCTTCCCTCACTCGACGATATAAAATTTTTTGAAGGACAAAGAACAAATTTGTGAGGTAGTGAAAGGATTGGCACCTATAAAGGGAACAATAATAACGATAAAATGACAAGGTCCTTTTCATGAGATGGAGAAATTACTTGTGATGTGGATGAAAGATCAGCTGCAAAAGCATGTACCCTTAAACCTTCTAACCATACAGGCTAAGGCAAAAAGCCTTTTCGAAAGCCTGAAAGAGCAGGCAGGAGATGAGTGCGACCAAAACTTCACAGCAAGTCATGGGTGGTTCCAAAGGTTTAAGTAGTGTTACAATTTGCACAGAATAAAGGTGATTGGAGAGGTAGCAAGTGCTGATATGGGTGCTGCTGAAACTTTTAAGGAGGAGCTAGATCGTGTCATTGTGGAGGGAAATTATTTGCCTAAGCAAATATTTAATGTGGATGAAACTGACTTATTCTGGAAGCGCATGCCAGAACGGTCATACATCCACAAAGAGGCAAAAACCATGCCGTGATTCAAGTCATTCAAAGACCCGAATCACATTTCTGTTGGGGGGGAATGTAGCTGGTTTCAAGGTAAAACCCTTCATGATATACCATTCAGAGAACCCCAAGGGCTTTTAAACATGTCAGCAAGCACACACTCCCAGTGTTTTATCGTAGTAATAAGAAAGCATGGATGACCCTAGCACTGTTTGAGGATTGGTTCCTGAGTTGTTTCATTCCACGAGCCAAGGAGTATCGCCTGCAACAAGGGGTTGCCTTCAAGATTTTATTAATTTTAGATCATGCTCCGGGAAACCCACCACACCTGGACGACCTGCACCCTGATGTTAAGGTAGTCTACATTCCACCTAACACTACCTCGATCATTCAACTCATGGATCAAGGTGCTATTGCTGCTTTTAAAGTGTATTATTTACGTACGACCTTTGCTCAGGCTATTGCTGCTACTGAAGGTGAGAAAACGTTCAGAGAATTTTGGAAGGACTACAACATTTTGCATTGTACAAAGAACATAGCTGCAGCATGGGATGAGGTTACAGGTCAGTGCATGAATGGGATATGGAAGAAGGTCCAGAAAAGATATGTGAACAGTTTCAAAGGATTTATTGAAGATGAAGCAATTTCTGAGATTAATTACAAGATAGTGCAGATGGGTAAACAGCTGGAGTTAGAAATTGATAATGAAGATGTTGAGCAGTTGGTGGAAAGTGTAGCAGAAGAGCTAAGTAACGAGGATCTTATTGAACTGGAGGCACAGAAATTTGCAGAGGAAGAAGAGAGACAAAATGTAAAAGAAGAACCTGCACCCCCAAAAAGTTTTCAGTGAAACAAATGGCAGAGGAATTTGCTACTACAGTATTAATAAGGGGATGCAAATGTTTGAAGAAATGGATCAAAATGTTGAGCGTTTTGCAAAAGTTGACAGACTGATCCAAGATGCACTTTCTTGCTACAGGGAAATTTTCAATGAAAAGAAAAGGCAAACTGTGCAGTCTAAATTGGACATATTTTTCAAGAAGTCCACCACTGCTGTCTCCTCACGCCTCACCACTCTGCCTCTTCACTCCCTAAAGATGATCCAATACCTTCAACAAGCAAGTATGTTAGCCTGTCTGAAGAAAGCAAGCTTGATAACCCACCCAGCCCTGTCTCCTTCTCTGCTTCATCCAATTAATGTAGTCTCCATGTTTAATTAAAAAGTTATTGAGGCCCCATCTGCATTCAGCTCACTTCATTAAAGGTAAATGCACAGTAACACTTTACTCATTTTTCATTATTGATTACTTTTACTGTACTGTATTTCAATTTAGAATTTCTATGTATTTTTTTGCGCTTTTTCGACTTATGACCAATTCGACTTACTACCTGGTCGTCGGACGGAACCCCGTCGTAAGTTGAGGTGAGACTGTATATATAAACAGTACCAGTTTACTAGCCACTCAGGTGGTTGATCTGTTCTTTGTTACATTGTTAAGACTTTTATTGCTCAGTGCTAGGATAGAAGGAAACCAGAATACGCATAGAAAACCTGCAACGTTTGGTGAGGTCACACTGGATAACACTTTTCTTGCATCTGTCCATGCTTGGGATTGAACCAAGAAACATTGATGAGAAATATGTATGCATATTACTGCTGTACACTAGTTTAGCCTTTTTCGGAAAATTATCAATACCACCAGTCTTCTCCAGTAGACCTCATGGCTGCTTCTGTAACTGTTTGACAAAGAAAATTTGAAATAGCTGTGTGTATATTAGATAATGATATTTTTCTGTGGTTTAATATGTACAATAATCTCATACCTTTCTGCATTTTCAGTTAATACTAATTACTTTTCTTTCCCCTTTAGCAGGAAAGACTGTTATCGATGTGTTCAAGTAACATCGCAACATCCAAACGTGCTTCAGTACAGGAAATGTAAGTTTATTCTTTAATATTCAAGATTTTCCTTAAATGATAGTACAGTGTGTATGTGACAACTTTTATCTCTGTCTAAGCATTTATAAGAAGTGGGAAAAATAAAAGGTTGTATCCTGTTGGTGGTGACCAACACTCACCATTGCCACTAACAACCAACACTCAACATCACCAACACTCATCATTACCACCAACACTCATCATCGCCAACACTCATCATTACCACCAACACTCATCATCATCACCACTACTTTGCTGTCACTCGGAATAGAGTATGACGATCATCCAGCTATGATACAATGATACACGTTATTAGGGATGTCACCTTCATTGGTGAGTTTTGAGGTTACTAAAACGGCCAATACGGGACCCGCTTTATCGTCCACATTCATTACACATGTGGAGGGCTCCATCTACTGTGGGAGGGGCGGTGGCAGCGTCTATCCGACGTTGGCGCTTGTCTGCCTCGGTTTGCCGTTGGGCTAACTCGAAAATATTGTCACCTTTTCGTGTGGTGCTCCTCCAAGCGTTACGATGTGGAGTAATTGACTTTCAGGTGAGGGGGGTCGATTTGGCACCTTTTCAGGTTTGTCTTAAGACTATCCTTATACTTTTTCAATTGCCCGCCGGCGTTACGTTTACTATTCATTAGGTGACTGTAAAGTAGCTGCTTTGGCTGTCTACTGTCGTCCATGCGGGTAACATGGCCAGTCCAACGTAGTTGTTCATGGATAATGGTAGCTTAGATGCTCTTACAGTTGGTGTCAGCAAGAATACTGGCATTTGTTCTCTTGTCTTTCCTGCGAACTCGGAGGATGGAACGTAGATTAATTTGGTGAAAGTTTTCTAGTGCCTTGAGGTGCCTCCTGTTTGTGACCCATGTCTCACTGCCATATAATAGAGTGGGCAGGACCACTGCTCGATATATGTGCAACTTTGTGGATAATTTCAGCTCCCTACAGCTGAAGACACGATTTCAGAGTCCGCCCAAGGCTTGATATGCACATCTGATCTGATGCTGAATCTCTTCATCGATGTCTGCGGTGGTGGACAGGCGGGAGCCGAGATACTGAAAGTGGGCAACATTAGAGAGGGTAATACCATTAAGCTGGATGAATGGTGGAGGTGTGTCTGAACCAGGGTCAGGTTGAAAGAATCTGAGTCTTACGTACATTCACCTCAAGGCCGAAGTGTGCATATGCGCCTGCGTAGGTCTTCAGGACCTCCTGTAGGTTGTGTTCAGTGTGAGTAACAAGGGTGAGGTCATCTGCATACAGAAGTTCAGTAGTGGAAGCTGCCGACACCTTTGTTCTTACCTGGAGTCGTCACATGTTGAAAAGACCTCTCTTCACCTGGTACTCGATGTTCACCCCGCTGGCTAAATTGGCCCTGGCACGAGTAAGGAAGGCAGCCAAGAAGATGGAAAAAAGAATTGGTGCCAGTGCACACCCTTGTTTAACTCCTGTTTGGATGGGGAAGAACTCTGACTGGGTGCCGTTGTGCAGGACACTGCCGTTCATGCCATCATGGAGTTGCTTCACAATGGTGATGAATTTTGGTGGGCAGCCAAAACGGCTGAGGGTCCACCAGAGGGCTTCCCTGTTGACTGAGTCGAAGGCCTTGGTTAGGTCGGTGAAAGCCATGTGCAGGTCATGATGCTGTTCTCTGCACTTTTCCTGTATCTGACGGGCAGCAAAGATCATGTCAGTGGTGCCAAGTGATGGTCTAAAACCACATTGAGATTCTGGGAGGAAGTTTTCCGCCTCAGGAAAAGATCAGTTTAGGAGGACTTAGGCGATAATCTTGCCAGCTACGGAGAGCAGTGAGATCCCACGGTAATTGCCACGGTCTGACCGGTCTCCCTTGTTCTTATAGATATTGACAATGGAAGCGTCTTTAAGAGTTTTGGGGATTTCCTCCTTTTCCCATATATTCTCCAGGAGAGAGTGGAGACAGATGGTAAGCAGAGGTCCTCATGCTTTATACACCTCGGCTGGGATTCCATCAGTACCTGAGGCTTTGTTATTTTTCATCTGTTTGATGGCAGTAGCTACCTCATCCAGGGATGGGGGATAGCTGAGGTAGGTCAGTTCTGAATGCTGAGGGACCTGCTGGGTAGTCAGGACATCCACATCGGTGTTTCGGTTGAGCAATGAATGGTGGTGCTATTTCCAACACTGAAGGAGGCCTTCGTCGTCTTTAATTATCTGGTTACCGTCAGATGCGCGTAGGGGGGCTGCGCCATGAGTGACTTTGGCCCATAAAAAGTTTTAGTAGAAATGAAAAATTTGCACATCTTGTGCTGATCTGCAAGTTTTTTGCTTCACTTGCTTTATTTTAAGCAAGTCGCTCTTTAGATTGCGGAGTTCCCGCTGGGCTGCCGCTTTCTTCTTGCGGAAGGTATTGGCTATGGTCTGAGACTGAGAGTTGTTCTGCCAGTCAGTAAAAGCAGCACGTTTATCATCGATGAGTACTTTGATTGTCGGGTCATTTTCATCACACCAGTTCTGGTGTATTCTTTTGAACTGGCCGAGGGTCTCTACAGGTTTTTGTCATAACACTCTTAAGAGTATCCCATACGGCACTAGAATTCACGTTGTTTGCTGTTGGGTTGTTTATAAGCCCATGTTCGAGCTGCTGCCAGAAAGCATGTGCTACTGCTGGATCCTCCAGACGCTTTGTATTAAAACCTCTTCTGGAGGCTTGATGCCTTCGCCGTTTTGGGGCAACATGAAGTGAGAGTTTGGATCTGACAAGTCAATGATCGGTGTCACAGTGGCCTAAGCCACGCATGGCATGGGTGATGAGGACATATCGGTGATCTCTATCTCTGACAATGATGTAGTCAATGAGATGCCAGTGTTTGGACCATGGGTGTTGCCACAAACCTTTGAACGTGTCGACCTGCCTAAACAAAGTATTGGTGATAGTGAGGTTGTGATCAGCACACTTGCTGAGGAGGAGTAGGCCATTGGGATTACACTTGCCTAGTCCATTTCTCCCTATGGTTCCTGCCAAATGTTAGCATCTCTGCCAACTCTGGCAATGAAGTCACCAAGGAGCACAACCTTATCTTCTCGGGGGATAGAGGTTAGCACTCTGTCAAGTTTGGCATAAAAGGCCTCCTTGATGTCATCCTCTGGATCTGGTGTTGGGGCATATGCACTGATGTAGAAGGCATGACATGAGTGATTCAGTGGGACTCGAAGCGTCATGAGGCGTTCGTTGATCCCAATAGGCATTTCAGTTAGCCTGTGTAGGATGCGTTGGCATATGGCAAAGCCAACTCCATAAATGCGGTTTCTCTCCGCAGCAGGCTTACCCTTCCAGAAGAAGGTGTAGCCAGACCCCGTTGTGTGAGTTAGCCCTCATCTGGGAGCTTGGACTCACTGATGGCTGCTATGTTGATGTTATACCTAGTCAGCTTTTTTGCCACAAGGGCAGTTCTTCTTTCAGGATGCTCATTTGTGCCAGTATTCAGAAGCGTCCTGACATTCCTTGCAGCAACCATAAGAGGTTGTTTGGTTTGTTTTTGTCTGTGATTTTTATTGTGTTTTCGACCTCATAAGGATGACCTTACTGGGTGCGTTTGCCCAGTCAGGTTGGGTTAGGTACTCACCATCACAATCACCAACACTCACCACCACTACCACCAGCACTCACTACCACCACCACCAACAGCACTCACTACCACCACCACCAGCACTTACTACCACCACCAACACTCGCCACCACTACCACTAATATTCACCACCACTAACATTCACCACCACCAACACTCACTACCACCACCAACACTCACTACCACCACCAACACTCACTACCACCACCACCACCAACTGGTGTTTACAGGATGAGAATGCATTCAAACTGGGACAACGGAGTAGCAGCCTCCAAACTAGCAGAATAAACAAAGTCACATTAGCGGCTCTACATATTAGTAACATGTATGGTACTGGTTGCTTGTAAGTAATGGGGGTGTAGGGGTGAGTGGTGGTGGTGAGTGTTGGTGATAAGTCGTGATGGTGAGTGTTGGCAGGAGGGGTGGGGGTGGCGGCTCTTTTGGACTATGTTGGTATATAATGAACCAAGCCCATTATTATTCCAGATCCATGTATAATGCACTTTTAGCTTTAACGGACCAGGCTTCCCGCAATTAGTCTATTATATCGTTGGTTTACTGTAAAGTAAGTATGAATGAATGCCCATTGAAATGACAAGAAAGTGGGTAAAATTTAACAGAATGGATGATTAGCATATGGATTGTGTATTGCAGAGAGAAGAGTATCATGGAAATGGACGAGAAAGTGTATTGTTCTTATCAATAAATCCCCGATCAGAAATACTGTATTTTATCTGTACGTACTCAGCTTACAATACCTGTATTTTTAATATCTTCAGCTAAATGCAAGAAAATACAAGACATTGACGCCATGTGCTCTACCATTACTGAAGATAACCACCTTCACACTATGATTCGTATCAATGGTAAATCATCCAAGTGTCCATTTACTGGCCCTCGCAAATTCATGTATGAATTACCACAGGGAGAGTGCACCACCAAAGGTCTCTCAAGAATCATGTCTGACAGAGTCACTAACCTGAAGTTCTGGTATGCTGCATGTGAAGACTCTTTGAACACATATGATCCTTCAATAGAAAGTGAGTGTTTTTATCTTAAACTAAGTACTGTATTAGGTTTTCCAGTATTTGTTCATCACACTTCGATCTTTATGACTCTGCTTACTCATAACTGAATAGAGAAACTTACATTATTGTCTAGTTATTTTAGCTAAGTCTTTCTTGTTTAAAATTAGTTCAGTGTCTTTACAGTACTGTATTTTGAATATTGAATTTCAAGCAGATAGCATAGTTTTTTATATAATAGAAAGTAAAATTCCAACAAGGCTAGCATAAATACAGGAGTCATATAACTACTGCCACTACTGTCCTCTCTGAATCTCAATCCATAGATTTTCAGAGTTAATAGTTTTTTTTTTTTTTATTTAGAGTGTCTATTTGTATTCTGAATTCTGGAAAGTCAAAGATCATATTGTAATCATTATTCTTTAGAAAATGGTATTATTTTTTAGAAAATGGTATTTTAATTTAATGTAAGATGTATGGTCACTTACTTTTATCCTCTTCACCACTGATTGGCTCGTTAGCCGCTTGGGCGATCGATCACATCTCTGTTACGCACTGTCGGCAAGTACTGGGCATACACCGGCTCTTGAATGTACCTGAACCTGCTCCAGTGTTGGTCAAGTCTGGTCTTGAAAGAGCTCACACTCGGTGCCGTCACAACACTTTCTGGTAGATTGTTCCAAGAGTTCACAACTCTCACTTCGAAAAAGTTTGCCCTCACAGTTTTCTGGACTTGCAGCTTCTTCAATCTTGAGCTGTGACCCCTTGTGGGGCGAGCGTCCGCCAGCTCCAAGTAAGGACACTCAACTGAGTAGTGCCCCAAGAGATGCTTATACACCTCAATTAGGTCACCCCTTGCCCATCTGTACTATAAGCTAGGCAAGTTTAGGCGCTCCAATCTCTCAGGGTAGCTGAGGTGCCGAAGTGCAGGCAGCAGTCTGATGGCCCTTTGAACATTTTCAACCAACTGACAGTCCTTAGCATATCTCGGGGACCAGACGGGGTGACAGTACTCCAGATGGGGAAGCACTTCACTCTTGAAGATCGTTACGAGGTACGGACCATCTAGATATATGAACGACCTTTTTATAAGAACCAATAATTTATTTGCCTGATTTACCTTCTTCTCGCAATGGCCTGACAACTTCAGCTCATTGTCAACATACACACCTAGGTCCTTCTCACATTCAGTCTCAGATAGTGCAGTTTCTTCATCCCGTTAGGACATATTATACGCCTCCTTACTGTCGGTACGCCCCTGGTGCATCCTCTTACACTTCGTGACATTGAATCTCAGCAGCCATTTCTTCGACCATTCTTGGAGCCCACAGAGGTCCTTCTGCAGCTCTTCACAGTCTGCTTGGTTCTTGATTTCCCAAAATAACTTGGCGTCATTGGCAAACATTTGTGTGGAGGAGTGTACAACGTCAGGCATGTCATTTATGAAACAAACAAACAACATCATGCCCAATACACTGCCCTGTGGTACCCCGCTTGTGACAGCTACGGATGATGATTTCATGCCATTAATCACCACACACTGCTTGCGGTCATGTAGAAAGTCTTCTATCCGCGCTAGGACACTTCCCCGAATTCTGTACCCTTCCAGTTTGATTTTCAGCCTTTCGTGGGGTACACTGTCGAAAGCCTTGGCAAAATCTAGGTAAATATTGTCGATATTACCACCCCGTTTCAAAATATGGGTCCAGATATCCAATACCTTGAGCAATTGTGTTAAGTAGGAGTGCCCCAGCATAAAACTGTGTTGGCAATCTTTTACAATGTTGTTTCGTAGTAGATGTTCCATCGCGGCATCTCTGATAATACTCTCAAGTACTTTAGATATTATGCTGGTCCGGCTCACCGGTCTATTGTTGTTTGTGGAGTGACGATCGCCCTTCTTGAAGATAGGACTCACATAAGCCACTTTCCATTCACTGGGGACCTTTTGTTCATCCAGGCATTTACAAAACAGGATCTTCAGGGGCTCGGCAACCTCATTGCACAACTCTCTTAGCACTCTGGGATGCACCATGTCAGGGCCGGGACTCTTGTGGACCTTTAGCCACATAAAAAAATAGTGTAATTATTATATTTTTCAATCAATTACAAGCAAAACATATACAGTATTATGTAGTATACAGTATGTAGATAATTAATTGGTTCAGCAAGGTGTAAGTAATGGTAGTTTTCTGTTAAAAGTTTTATGTGAGGGGGAGCTACAATATTATGCAATGTAACATTAAATTCAGTAAAGTAAACCCTTACATTTATTTGCTGTCTGTGGATACAGGCACAGTCTACAGGTTGCACATAACCATATTATTGGTTGCTGTCATCGGGTGATTTGCGTAGTTATCATGTTTCCTATACAGTGATCCCTCGGTTAACGAAATTCCGGTTAACGGATTACCTTTCATAAGATTCTTAACTTCGGTTAACGAGCATTCCCTCGATTAACGAATTCCTTACGAGCTCCCCTCAACATGTTTTTGCTTGCACTAGCTGTCATATTCGTCCGTCAATACAGTAATCGGTTCTAGGGCTTAAATTCCTTACTATTTTAGTCAATATCAAGAAGTTTGTACTATTCAATAATTTTAAAAGTCTTATATTAAAATTTTTAGTCATTTTAACAATTATTTAACATAATTTAAGTACAGGGAAACTAGTTTTTAGCGCGCCAAACAGCCTGTCAACACACCATACAGGCATCAGTTTCTGTGTCTTTTCAGTAGGGGTAACATCTTGCTTCAGACTCTTCAACATAAACGCTTTTTTTCTGTGTTTCCAATCAAATTATTGGTCATTTTGAAATTTATTTTACATATTGACAATATATAATGCAGTGCAGTGTTGATTTAAAGAAAATAATCTTGAATTACACCAAGTGAACTAAAATTTTATGGGTGAAATGGCGCCATGGGGTGACTTCTCTTCCACCCCAATGCCTTCTCTTCTCCCTTCTCCTCCACCCCCATTCTAATTCTCATCATCATCCAGGACCCTTCTACATACACACCTCAAAGTAAGTGTACTTTACTACCTTTTTTGTTGACTTTAGGCAATTTTCGGTGAGCTGGAACCAATTACCCAAAAACCCATTGAAACAATGGTTTTGGTTAACGAGCAACCTTCTAGAACGAATTAGTGCTCGTTAATCAAGGGACCACTGTATTGGAATTTTAGCCTTTTTAAGTTTATTTGTGCTAAGTTTTCTTTTTGTCATATAGTACTATTGCTTTATGCGTGATTTTGGCAGTACATTATCACAGTACTCCATAACACATTGCCTACTTTATTTGACTACATTTACTTATTTTGTAAATACAGTACATGTATTAGTGCAAATGCTGTGTAACAGGTTACACAGGGTCAGCATGCATTGTTTGCTCAGAAGCTCAGGTAAGTGCTAAATGTGTTGACCATTTTTTTTTATAACATCTTACTGGTGGAATTACTGCTTGATACCTCTCCATTAGCAAATAACAGTAGGAGATTGAAGCCTATCCACTAGCAGCAGGTATTTGCTAAATAGAGGATCTTTATTCTTATGCCTGTAATAAGAATAATTTGGTATGTTATTTCCCTTCCACAACACAGTGTTATAGCTCCAAATATCTATCTTGTTTCCCTGTTGCTTCATGCAGACTTTCATTGCCCATCAGAAGCACATCTATTCCCAAACTCACTTGACTCCATGCTCTCCAATCATTCATACAAATCTTTACTTCTTGTATAGTACAATAAATCCATTCTCCTCACTTATTGTACATTTTTTACCCCATCCTTCTAACTCCTTTTTGGTCACCACCACCAGTAATAACAAAATACAGGAATAACAAAAACACCATTACAGTAATAGCAACGAAGGCATTGCTGTAATCTTCTCTCTTTTTTACTTGTAGTTGTTTCATTTCTACTAGGATAGTCATTCATACAGTGCTATTTATCTTAAATTACAGGCAGCATTATACAGTACTTAGAACATATTTACAATCAACCATCTTTTTGTACAGTCACCTTTCAGTGATATAGACTGTATTATGTATGTAAAAATTGACTTTTTCATAAATTAAGCACTCTCCTAATTACAAGTCTTTTGTGTACAATAGCTGAAGAATATGAATGTACTGCAACTTGGTCTGAAGGTTCTACTCATTATTTGATTGGAGAGCAAGATGGACCCTCTCTGTCTTTAAAGGAGCGGTATCGGTGTTTTACATACATCCAAGAGCAATATGAAGATTTTTATCGCATGAGTCATAGAAATACTGCAACATGTGGTGTTTTAGGTGAAGACTTCAGTAAGACATATAAAATCTTCAGCTTAACAGAAGGTAAGGGGACATATTAAACATTTAGGACTCTCACTTAATGATCATATTCATGAGTATGCAACAGCTCCTTAGTTTATCATACAATCAAGAGATCTTAACCCTAAGTGCCTACATTTTATATATACAGTCATGCGCAGGTTAACGTCCTAGTTACGTTCTTGGAAACGTGACGTTAACCGAAATGGACGTTGTCCGATCATCACATAAACTTTGTCTATATACTTACGTGTATGTGGAATACTATATACGTACATATACACTCTTACTCTTAAATCACTACTGTAATGTGATACAGGTGATTAATTTTTATCTCTTGTGCAAAATACATGACGTTTATATTAAAATTATTTGCTGTCTTACAAGGATTCCAGCAATGCTGGGCAGATGGGGGAGAGGGAGCGAGTGAGCGACGGGGGGAGGGGAGCGGGAAGTGAGGTGGTACGTTGGACAGTTGGCACCGACCCAAGGTCTAACGCGTGTTTATTTATCAATTCTTAAGTGACTAAGCTTCTCTCTTATAAAAAGCCAGTGAAATGTCCTGGGTGAATATAATTTACATTGCTGGGATTCTTGTAAGATGGTGATTATTTTAAATATAAACAAGCTATAATTTGCACTAGACATAACAATTTTAGTACCGTAATCAAATTAGTACACGTGCACTCCAGCTTTGCACTAAGGTCATTTATTTCTTTTACGTTTCTTTTAGTATAGTGTGTGCATGTAAATGGACGAAAATAAATGAAGAATTTTATGTAAATCTACCCAAAAATACAGTTGAAAAACTTTATATTATAAAATATACACTAATGTACTACAATTTTATCTCTTGAGCAAAATATATGACGTTTATATTCAAATTAATCGCTGTCTTGTAAGGATTTCAGTAATGCAAATTATATTCTCCTATAGTCTGAGATATTATATGAAAAACTTAAGGCCTAAAACCCCCCACGCGAGGGAGCGTTGGGGTGTGGGGGAAGCGGGAAGTTGGTAAAACTTGTCAAGTAAGTGAGTGTCAAGTCTGTCAGTATGAGTGGCACGTGTGAGTGCTTGTCCCCTATCATAGGAGTCCGTTTTCTCTCGCTTCAGGACGCCTGAGTCCTCCGTTTTCTCTCATTCTTAGAGTGCACCAGAGACTTCGTTATTCCTTAGTAATGACACAGAATTTGAAATTGCAACCCCAATTGCAACTGTGGTTGCAATTGTTGAGGCAACTAGATGTGTCTGATTACAGCAAATGTGTTATTGTCAATTCGTAGGTGAAAGATTTTATCCTCAATAGATGTAGGTTAACATTACACCTGGAGGCAAATGCTTACTAAAGCCTAAGGACGGAAAGGATATTCCTTTAATACATAATATCTGGCCAGTATGGGAAGGATCTTCGTGTCTCCGTTAGGGGGTCGTGGAGTGGTGGTCCAGCAGGCGTCACGGAAATTTTTTTGGGGGGTGGGGGGGGGGGCACGGACGTATATGCGATTGGACATTGTTCGTTGGACGTTAACCTGACGATGACTGTATATATATATATATATATATATATATATATATATATATATATATATATATATATATCATAGGGTGGTCCCCATTAGGAGGTTCACGGCGCCATAAGCTCGTTGAACAGGCTTTGTGTGAAATATAACAAAGTCTAGGACTGCTTTTAGTATCCTGGTGGTCCAGCGGTTAGCGTTCCCGGTCACAGTCATAGGCTTGTGCCGTGGGTTCGAATCCTGGCGGGTTGAGGTGTTGATTGTATGTAGAAGTCCGCGTGCTTTATTGGGCTAATGAAATATATATGGATCCTCGTGTTTCGAAGCCGGATTTGGTAAAACGTTACTCTGACCACCTAAGTGATACGGGTGGTCCCCATTAGAGGTTCACGGCGCCATAAGCTCGTTGAACAGGCTTTGTGTGAAATATAACAAAGTCTAGGACTGCTTTTAGTATCCTGGTGGTCCAGCGGTTAGCGTTCCCCGGTCACAGTCATAGGCTTGTGGGCCGTGGGTTCGAATCCTGGCGGGTTGAGGTGTTGATTGTATATATATATATATATATATATATATATATATATATATATATATATATATATATATATATATATATTTATATATATATATATATATATATATATATATATATATATATATATATATATATATATATATATATATATAAAACAGCCTTGCTGTGTAATTCACATCTTCAGTCTGTACTCACCCCTGAAGATGTGAATTTCACGAAAGCGCTTGGGAACTTCGTGTTTTCTTCTTTCTTTGTGGTTATCAGCATATACCTAGATCACGCGCACCTACAGTGATTTACTTGCATATATATATATATATATATATATATATATATATATATATATATATATATATATATATATATATATATATATATATATATATATATATATATATATATATATATATATACTGTACATATGCATATACAGTTGTACCCCGCTTTACGCGGTCAATTGAACCCACAGGGTACCGCGTTAAGTGAACAACAGAACATATGGGATTAATTCCAATAGAGACTGGCCCGACCCCCAAACTCCACTTTTTCCAACACAATACCTATGTTCTAGTAAAAATAACATCTTAATGTTATGATGGTACATGCACACAATTAATACTTAAGAGAAATAGAGAAATACAGTCGCCAAGTTAATGTCCATTCAAATAATGGACTCAACTCCCTCCCCCTCTTCTCACACTACACTCACTGGCTCTTCCCTCTGAGAAATTTTGGGCGGAAAACCACTAAATTTTAATAAATAATTCCTCAAACTAAAGTTAGGATAATACAATTGACATTGCTGGATTCCTTGTAAGACCAGGAATATTTTGAATATAAATGTCATATATTTTGCACATAAGATAACATATTTACTCAGAGTAAACATTATATCTAAAATTTGTCTGTCTAATGCAAAATCTATGATGTTTATATTCAAAATGATCACCAAATTGTAAGAATTCCAGCAATGTAAATTATATTCTGACCGGGTAATTTGTATGAATTTAATGAGCTAAAACAAATATCTTCAGTTAATAAAAAAAAAATATTCTTCACAACACTATATGTCAATCAAAGTACCCCACCTTGCCTCCCCCCCTCTTCCAACCGCGTGGTCCGTCCCAACCCTCCCCCCCACCCCCCACCAATCCTCCCTTCAAGAGATGTTGGGTGAAAAAACTAAATTTTAACATTTAGTATTAAATAATACCTCAGATTAAAGATAGGATAATATAATTGACATTGCTGGATTCCTTGTAAGACCAGGAATATTTTGAATATGAATGTCATATATTTTGCACAAAAGATAACATATTTACTCAGAGTAAACATTACATCTAAAATTTGTATGTCTAATGCAAAATCTATGATGTTTATATTCAAAATGATCATCAAATTATAAGAATTCTAGCAATGTAAATTATATTCTGACCGGGTAATTTGTATGAATTTTATGAGCTAAAACAAATATCTTCAGTTAATAATAAAAAAAATATTCTTCACACGGTAACAGATGGTCGGTCGGTCCCTCCCTCCCCCCCACCACCCACCAACCCTCCCTACCAGATGTGTGGGAAAACCAGAATATTTACCTTTTTAGTAATAAATAATACCTCAAACTAAAGTTAGGATAATATAATTGACATTGCTGGATTCCTTGTAAGACCTGGAATATTTTGAATATAAATGTCATATATTTTACACAAAAGATAACATATTTACTGAGTAAACATTATATCTAAAATTTGTATGTCTAATGCAAAATCTATGATGTTTATATTCAAAATGATCATCATATTGTAAGAATTCCAGCAATGTAAGTTATATTCTGGCCGGGTAATTTGTATGAATTTTATGAGCTAAAACAGGCAGGCAGGCAGTCAAGCAGGGTGGGGCGAATCTAAAAATAGCGTCTCCAGCCAGACACTCTGCGCGTATACGTCGAAAAAACCCGCGTTAAGTGAAAGTTTGGCTCTGGCGAGGCACCGCGTATACGTGAAATCGCACTAAGCGAAACCGTGTTAAGCGGGATATTACTGTGTGTGTGTATGTGTATATATATATATATATATATATATATATATATATATATATATATATATATATATATATATATATATATATATATATATATATATATATATATATATATATATATATATATATGAAATTATAACGAATCTAATTGGTTCTAGAACCTTGTTCGTTATAGCATTCGTTCGTTATAGGATTAATCCGTTCCAGGCCCCCAAATACAACCACTTAACACTGAAAAATATATATAAAATTGTAAAAATTGTAAAAAAGTGCATAAATATGCATCTAAACCCCTGAAATAAAGAATATCATTAATATTTGTAATAAAAAAACAATAAATTAGAAAAAAAAAAAATTAAATAATGTTCGTTGTAGGAGTTTCGTTCGTTATAGCATTCTCAATTTTATAGGTAAAACCGTTCGTTATAGGAATATTCGTAGTAGGATCCGTTCGTTATAGCATACCCACTGTATATATATATATATATATATATATATATATATATATATATATATATATATATATATATATATATATATATATATATATATATATATATATATATATATATATATATATATATATATATACAGTCAACACTTTACGCGGTCCCACATTCCGTTTCCACGTTAACGCGGTGCCGTGCCAGAACCTAACGTGCTCTCATTACGCGGTGCGCGAGCCCCATTACGCGGAGAGTGTCCGGCGCGACGCTATTTTTAGATTCGCCCCACCCGCCTGCCTGCCTGCCTGTGCTCTTGCCTCTCCCTCCTCCTCCCTCCGCTTGGGCTAGCCGCGCGGTAAGGTTGCGCAGTGTGTGTCTTTGTTGCGTTATCACTGACGTCATATGACGTATCGGACTGTGATTGGCCATGCATCCCTACCCCCCCTCTGCTGCTAGCTGTAATTGGCTTAAAGTATTATGACGTGTCCACCCGGGGGAGGGAGGGAGGGAGGAAAGACGATCCTTGACCTAGCCGCGGCAGTTTCATCCCTCCACGCCAGAGCGTGTAAATGTGCATCCATTGTTCTCTAAAATGGCTTCCGCTGGACCACCACCCCCAGAGAGAGACCTTTCCTTACCTGGACCCAGCGGCACTAAGCCAAAGAAGACACGACGTTCCTTAAGCTACGAGGTGAAGTATACCATCATCCAAGAGTTGGAGAAAGGAACAAGGCAGGTTGATTTGGCGTGCCAGCATGGTGTGAATGAATCTATGATTCGAACAATAAAGAAGGATGCAGCCAAGATAAAGGAGCACATGAAGATCACAAAGTCTACAGGTGCTTCTATGATCAAGTATTTTCACAACCAGGTGCTTCTCAAGACAGAAAAATTACTTGTGAGGTACTTGGTGCGTCAGGCGCGACGGAACATGGCGGTCGACACGCGCTCTGTTAAGGACTATGCACGTGAACTGTACATTGCAGTAGCACGAAAGATGGGAATTACAGAGCCCAAACCCCTTAATGCTTCCTCTGGGTGGTTACAGAGGTTTAAGATCCGGAACAAGATCACCAATGTAAACATTGGTGGTGAAGAAGCTAGTGCTGACCGTGCTGCGGCTAGGGAATTTCCTCCGTTTTTACGTGAGATTATGGAGGAAGGACAGTACGGTGACGACCAGGTGTTTAACATGGACGAATCTGGTCTTTTCTGGAAAAAGCTACCTTCCAAGTCCTTCGTTGTAAAGAATGCCAGCAAGATTCGGGGCCGGAAGATACAGAAGGAACGCATCACCGTCCTATTTACCACCAATGCCTCCGGTACCAGTAAGCTCAAGATATCGGTGATCCACACAGCACGCAAGCCGCACGCCTACAAAACCATGGACATGACCAAGCTAAATGTCCACTGGCTGACCGCACGTAAGGCGTGGATGTTCTCTACACTGTCCCTCTCCTGGTTTGATGACTGTTTTGTTCCCGATGTAAAGAAATTCTGTGAGCGACAGAATGTGCCATTCAAGATTTTGTTGCTGCTGGACAACGCACCAGGACACTCGCCCCTACTGTTAGATCGTCACCCCAACGTTAAAGTGGTCTTCCTTCCTCCCAACACTACGTCTATATTACAGCCCATGGACCAAGAGTTAATCTGTAATGTAAAAGCTGCATTCTCTACGAAAAAATTCAAACTTCTGAACGACTACACCAACACCAGGGAAGAGTTGCGTAACCTGAGTGACACCACCACCGATAGCAAGAGCGAAGAAGATGAGGATCAACAGTTGGCACAGCAAAAAATACTGTTCAAACAATTCTGGCGAGTATTTAACATCAAGAAAGCTGTGGACTTCTTGGTGGAGTCATGGGATCAGCTGTCTATTGCTACAATTCGTCACACATGGAGACATGTGTTGCATGGAATACCAGGTGAGAGGAGGAGTCAATCTGTGACTGGTGAGGTTCAGACTGTTGCAGTAGCAGTGGACCTTGCCAGAGAAGCTGCGCAGACTTATACAGTTCCAGGCTTCTCCGAGACCACCAACGACGACATCCTGGAGGTGATAATGGAACCTGCTGTGACTACCGACGAGATGGTCGATGATGATGACGACGTCAGTGAAGAGGCAGGTGGTGCGTCATCCCAAGAAGAACAACACTTATCCCATAGTAATGTTAGGTGGTGCCATCGAGTGTATCGAGAAAGCCAAGCTCCTCCTTTCCGACGACCCTGACCCAAACAGGTATGAAATGTTCACTACCCAGCTGTTGCAGACTATGGAGCCCTACATCTAGGTGTATCACGATAACATCAACACCAGCCGTCAGCAAAGCATAACAGATTTCTTCGCCCGCAACCCACCACAGCCAGCCCAAGCCAGTGATAGTGACAGTGAAGATGACTTTGAGGGATTTGTCAGGGAAGCCCTGACAACTGTAAGTGACAGTGATGGTGATGCACCTAGTAATGGTGATTCACCTGAGGGCCAGTAGCCTGCCCTCTGCCTCAGAACCAGCCTCCATCCCCGTACGCCGACCCATCTCTTCTACTAACGTAAGTGTTCCACATAACTTTTAGTTACATGGTAATATTGAGGAGGCATTATCCCAGTCAATGCAATGCCTCCTCAATATTACCATGTAATTCAATTGATAGTAGGAACATCATAGAATCTAGTCGTATTAAACATACCGAAGCATTCAACATGAATTTGAGTAACGGCATGTACAAGCTGGACAATTTTGTAATTAAGAAGATTTGTAACCAGGTGAGAAGGCCGGGTCACCTGACCATCTGACCTGACCACCAACCGTTGTGTGCTATTTAAAGATTAGTAGGGTCATTACCTAATACCTGACCATTGTGGACCTGGTCTCACCCTCCTCTGTATATATACACCTTGGTTTGTATTTCTCTCTCTAGTCTGTACTCACCCCTGAAGATGTGAATTACACAAAAGCGCTTGGGAACTTCGTGTTTTCGTCTTTCCTTGTGGTTATCAGCATATACCTAGATCACGCGCACCTACAGTGATTTACTTGCATATATATAAATATATATATACAGTACATATATATATACATATATATACACATATATATACATATATATATACATATATATATATATATATATATATATATATATATATATATATATATATATATATATATATATACACTTCATTTTTAGTCCATATAACACGCGGACTTTGAACATATAATCAACGACCTCACCAGCAAGGAATCGAACCCTCGACCCAGTAGGTCGAGGGTTCGATTCCTTGCTGGTGAGGTCATTGATTATATGTTCAAAGTCCGCGTGTTATATGGACTAAAAATGAAGTATATATATATATATATATATATATATATATATATATATATATATATATATATATATATATATATATATATATATATATATATATATATATATATATATATATATATATATATATATATATATATATATATATATATATATATATATATATACACACACAGTATTACCCCGCCTAACGCGGTTTCACTTAACGCGTTTTATCATATACGCGGTGCCTCGCCAGAGCTGAACTTTCACTTAACGCGGAATTTTTCATCATATACGCGGGAAGCGGCGCGGGCACGATGCGCACAAGGTCGCCCAGTCATCAAAACATTACCGAGTTCTTCACCCACCACCCACCACAGCCGGCCCAAGTCAGTGATAGTGAGGATATGGACTTATATGGCCTTTGAGGGGTTTGACAAAGAGGCCCTGCAAGCCTCTGTGGTGGTTAGTGATACAATTGATACAAGTGATACAGGTGAGGGCCAATAATCTGCCCTCTGCCTCGGAACCAACCCCCCATCCCCGTGTGCCCAGCCATCTTTTCTACTAATGCAAGTGTTAAAAAACCTAATATTATTGATATTTCTCTTAATTATTAATTGTGTGTGCATACCATCATAAAGTTAAGATAAAATTTTTACTACAACATAGTTGTGTGTCGTCAAAAAGTGGAGTTTGGGGGTCGGGCCAGTCTCTATTGGAATTAATCCCATATGTTCTGTTGTTCACTTAACGCGGTTTTCACTTAACGCGGTACCCTGTGGGTTCAATTGACCGCGTTAAGCGGGGTACTACTGTATATATATATCCATGCAATGTACTGCAGTTTTGAGGGATGGTGTTATCCTCCGTAACTGAATGGTAGTTTTAACTTTTTAATACCATGCCTTCACAAAGAATGATATTTATCAAATGGATTGGTATAACAGTTTGACAGCAATAATGGGATTATGACATCCCAGATTTTGGAGCTGTTTTGCTTAAAAGAATTTTTTTTCTTCTTTTAACAGATCACTTGTTTACAGACGGTGTCATTATAAGGTCTGACACAATTAAATATCCATTTGTTTTGTTTAGAAATATTTTATCAACCATAATACAGATGCATAAATGGGCTATAGCATTTCAATACTTACAGAGCAATCATTCTCACTGAGTGGACCTGGGGAGACTCATCTTACTGCAAAGCCTTTTGACACTGTCATCTTGACATGTAGGGCCGGGGTCTCCTTAAATTTTGTAAGTATACATCCCAGATTGTTTTTTTTTTTATTATTATAGTTGTTGATTTTTTCCCATATAGTTTCTACTCTTATCAACATTCATGTGAGCTTCATATATTTTGATCCTGTGTTTATTAGGAGTTTAATTTTTTTCTTCTCATATATCCTTAGTTCATATTCATCTTTGTCTCAGGACTGTTTTGTATGTGTATGGTAATATTAATGTTACACTATGCACATTTTCTCTTTCAATAATTCAGCCAGTTCCTCATCCTTCCATTCTTTATTCTTATACTTTTATTTCCTAAACTCTTGTACCTGTCCTTGAATTTAAGTGGAGTTGAGCTAACATTTTGCTTTGAGCATTAAGCCCATAGAGCAATGGTTCCCTCACACTGGGTCGTGACCCCAAATGGGGTAGCAGGACTCATCATAAAGGGTCGCATAGTGGTCATGGGGTCGCATAGAGCTCTTGAGATCACTGGAATCACTTGTGTCTTGCGGCGATCAGACATGTCAAGGACTTAATCCTCTTAAGGAGTAGCCTCCTGCTATAAGGCGCCAAGGCTCGGGACCTGAAAACCCGCATCTTCAAGCAGTTGTGCATTGCTGGAAATAGTGAACACCAGACACTGCTAATGCACACTGCTGTCAGATGACTATCACGGGGAAAGGCCTTGGAAAGGATTTTCCTTCTTCGAAGTGAACTAGCTCTCCTTGCACCTCTGACAGACACGTTTGATCATGTCAATAAACTCAATACTGAACTTCAAGGAAAAGGTAAATGGGTTTTTGATCTTCAGTGTGCAATAAGGGCTTTTGTAAGCAAACTGCAGATGCTTCAAGAACAAGCTGAAGCTGACAATTTTTGTCTTTAACCATCACTACTTGGAAATCACAGCTACGATAGATGTTGATTTTGATGAAACACTAGATCTCACTGAGGAGAAACATGATTTACAGAACCTGACTGCAAACTTCAATGAAAGATTCCCCGAGTTGCTTACAGAGTCTTTTGATTGATTTTGTTCAGTTTCTGTTCAAGACAGATGTAAAACAGTGTGGCTCTTATGCTTTAAAAATGTCAAAATTACAAGCTGACAATGAGGCAAGGGTGAATTTTGACGTCTGTGATGACATAGCAAAGTTTTGGACTAATTTATGAAAGAAACATTCAACAGTAAAAGGTCAAGTTATCAGGGATTGTCAACCTGTATATATATATATATACAGTATATATATATATATATATATATATATATATATATATATATATATATATATATATATATATATATATATATATATATATATATATATATATATATATATGTATATATATATATATATATATATATATATATATATATATATATATATATATATATATATATATATATATATATACACACAGTTATTCCCCGCTAGCGGTCAATTGAACCCAGAGGGTCGCGTTAAGTGAAACTCAGATAAGTGAACAACAGAACATATGGGATTAATTCCAATAGAAACCGTGACCCCAAACTCCACTTTTGAAGGCACATACCTATGTTGTAGTAAAATAACATCTTAATTTATGATGGTACATGCACACAATTAATACTTAAGAAATAGAAATACAGTGATGCAAGTTAATGTCCATTCAAATAATGGACAACTCCCTCCCCTCTCACACTACACTGCGGCTCTTCCCTCTCAGAAATTTTGGGGAAAACCACTAAATTTTAATAAATAATACCTCAAACTAAAGTTAGGATAATACAATTGACATTGCTGGATTCCTGTAGACCAGGAATATTTTGAATATAAATGTCATATATTTTGCACAAAGATAACATAGTTACCTGAAAAAATTTTTATCTAAAATTTGTATGTTTAATGCAAAATATGATGTTTATATTCAAAATATTCCATTATAAGAATTCCAGCAATGTAAATTATATTCTGACCGAGTAATTTGTATGAATTTTATGAGCTAAAACAAATATCTTCAGTTAATAAAAAAAAAATAATCTTCACGACACTATCTGTCAATCAAAGTACCCACCTTGCCTCCCCTCTTCCAACCGCGGTCAGTCCCAACCCTCCCCCACCCCCCACAATCTCCAGGTTTTATTTAGTATTAAATAATACCTCAGATTAAAGTTAGGATAATATAATTGACATTGCTGGATTCCTTGTAAGACCAGGAATATTTTGAATATAAATGTCATATTTTTTAAAAGATAACAAATTAATTTGAGAAAAATTTTTATCTAAAATTTGTATGTCTAATGCAAAATATATGATGTTTATATTCAAAATGATCATCAAATTATAAATTCCAGCAATGTAAATTATATTCAGAATAAATATTTTAAAACAAATATCTTCAGTTAATAAAAAAAATAATTCTTCACGGGGTAACAGATGGTCGGTCGGTCCCCCTCCACCTCCACCAACCGTAAGGAGATGTTAACCACTAAATTTTAATAATAATACCTAAACTAAAGTTAGGATAATATAATTGACATTGACTAGTTCAGTAGACAGAATATTTTGAATATGTCATATATTTTTGCACAAAAGATAACATAGTTACTAGAAAAATTTTTATCTAAAATTTGTATGTCTAATGCAAAATATATGATGTTTATATTAAATAAATCACCATAAAATTTAAGAATCCACATTATTAAAATAAATTTGTATGAATTTTATGAGCTAAAACAGCCAGTCAGGCAGGGTGGCGGGGGGCAAATCTAAAAATAGCGTCTCGAGCCGGACACTCGTATATGTGAAAAATCCGTGTTAAGTGAAAGTTCCATCACGTCAGAAGAAACCCGCGTTAAAAGATTAAATACTATATAAATCATATAGAATATATATATAATATATAGATATATATAGATATATATATATATATAGATATATATATATATATATATATATATAGAAATATATAGATATAGATATAGATATAGATATATAGATATATAGATATATATATATATATATATATATATATATAGATATAGATATAGATATAGATATAGATATAGATATAGATATAGATATATATATATATATATATATATATATATATATATATATATATATATATATATATATATATATATATATATATATATTTCATGTAGATCCACAATGAAAAAGTGGATAAGATAAATCTTGATAAAATCACACGGAAAAAGGGAAACAACGGAGCACCTTAGCTTTCGTCTTTATTCAAGACATCTTCAGAGGCAACTGGATTACATGGACAGAGAGAGGCTTAAATATACAGGGTGACCTTAAAAACATGAGGTCAGGTCATAATGATGTCATCCACTAATACCCACACCAACACACGTAGAGGAGCTTAAGAGAAGGGGGGTGACGTGACTAGTCAGGTCAGGTCAAAAATAAGGGACCCACTAAATAACTATCATACATCTAGATCAAAGGTTTTCAAAGCATTTTTAACCTTGGGCCACTGACAAATAAATTTATGTAACATCTTATCAGTTTTGAACTGACCATCACTAAGGGTTATTGATTTTAATTCCTTAATCAAACTAGCTTCAACCAGAAGTCTTTCTGTGACACAAGATGATTTAAATACTTCTAAGCTTTTTTCCCAACCAATGGGATGATTATTATTCCTAACATGAACGAACAAGGCACTGCTTTCAGATGCTGTTCTGATATTGTACTTATGTTGTTTGATTCTGACGGATTCGGTATGTTTAATGAGATTGGATTCTATAATGTTCCTACTGTCAATTGAATTACAAGGTAATATTGAGGTGGCATTATCGCAGTCAATGCAATGCTTATTATCCCTCATATGAACAAACAGAGCATTGGATTCCTGGCCTGTCCTAACACTATATTTATGTTACTTTTACTTTTATCTTCTTCGCCACTGATCGGCTTGTTAGCCGCTTGGGCGATCGGTCACGTCTCTGTCACGCACTGTTGGCAAATACTGGGCATGCACCGGCTCCTCAATGTACCTGAACCTGCTCCAGTGTTGGTCAAGTCTTATCTTGAAAGAGCTCACACTCGGTGCTGTCACAACACTCTCTGGTAGATTGTTCCAAGAGTTTATAACCCTCACTCCGAAAATTTTTGCCCTCACAGTTTTCTGGACTTGCGGCTTCTTCAATCTTGAGCTGTGACCCCTTGTGGGGCGAGCGTCCGCCAGCTCCAAGTAAGGACACTCAACTGAGTAGTGTTCCCTGAGATGCTTATACACCTCAAGTAGGTCCCCCTTGCCCGTCTGTAGTATAAGCTAGGCAAGTTCAGGCGCTCCAATCTCCTCTCAGGGTAGCTGAGGTGCCGAAGTGCAGGCACCAGTCTGGTGGCCCTCCTTTGAACATTTTCAACCAACTGTTTAAGTCTAGTTACAAGACCTTTACCTGTCTGGCCTAAATACAACATATTACATTCATTGCAAGGAACCTTTTAAATGCAGCCACCTGTATTGTTGGGGGAGTTCTTGATTAACATTTGTTTAACAGTGCATGAGTTTTTAAATGCCACATTGACGTTCCACATTTTTAGTTGTAAAGGAATTTGAGAGAAATTTTTGTGAAATGGTAATACAGGTTGTACCTCTCTAGTCCGGCAACCTCGGGACCTGACCGGTGCCGGACCATGGAAATTCACCCTTTTCCTGGATAGATAGTGACTTGTGCTTATGCCTGGAAGCACTAGCACCACTTTCTCTGCATCATGGTCTCTTTGAAGACATATTGAAGGGTTAAATGTCGTATAGTAGCTTCTCAAATTTCGCGAGTTTTTAATTCTTAATGTATTTTATTGGAACACAAAAAATAAATAAATAAAAATTTTGACGGCGGAAACTTGAATTTCGACGGGTTTGAACGGCCCGCCAACGTGCAGACGACGTGCATAATCGTGTAAACAGCGTCATTTCTCTTATGTACAAAAGATTCATTATTGTTTATTACTGAATGTCTTTTTTATTGAATTAATGTTTATGTGTGCAAAATGAGCAATACAATTCATTAATAATACGTAGAATATTAAAACACACGAGGAAATGACACAGCATTGTATTCGTTGATTACAAAACCAGTGACTGACTGGTTCTACATATAAAACTGAAGAAAATAAGACCTTGGTTGTAGCTGTAGTAAAATTAATATGGTTGTTTTAAGTAATGTTATTTAATGTTAATAAATGGAACAATAGAAGTAGCTAACGATAATGGTAAAGAAAAAAGAGAGATCGCATATGTAAGTGCGCATGCGCACACGTGAAAACATATCATCATTACTTTACATAAGAATATGAAAGCAACACTTATTTACTGTTCATATATATTTTAATTAATGTTTCTGAATTTGTTTTTATTGAATTAATGTACGTGTGTGCAAAATTAACAATACAATTTATTAATAATACGTGGAATATTAGAGGAGACGAGACGGCTGCCGGCATTGTTTATGTTAAAGCTTACGAAACCAGTGACTGATTGGTTCTACATATAAAACTGAAGAAAATAAGACCCTGAGTTTAGCTGTAGTAAAATTAATGTAAAAAAATGAATATGGTTGCTTGAAGTACCTGTAATGTTATTTAATGTTAATAAATGGAACAATATAAGTAGCTAACCATTAATGGTAAAAAAAAAGTGAGACTGCTCGTATGTAAGTGCGCACATGTGAAAATATATCATCATTACTCTACATAAGAATATGAAAGCAACACTTATTTACTGCTCATATATATTGAAGGGTTAAATGTTGTACTCTGTATAGACAAGCAGAGAGAGAGAGAGAGAGCAGCCGAACTGCCGGATGTAAACAAACCTTAATTTCCCGCGGCTTTTTTTTTTTAAGGGGATTAGCCCACCCGGGCATAGGTCACTGACCCACATTGGGGCCTGAGGGGCAAAAATTTAATACTCCTGTAATAATAATAATAATAATAATTCAGATAAAAAAAAAAAAAAAAAATGCCTATCTACCTATTGGACAAACTAAAATCGGTCCGGACCACGGGAGTTTCCGGACCACAGAATGCCGGACTAGAGAGGTACAACCTGTACTTACATTAGATCTAAAATTTGTATGTCTCATGCAAAATCTATGATGTTTATATTCAAAATGATCATCAAATTGTAAGAATTTCAGCAATGAAAATTATATTCTGGCCGGGTAATTTGTATGAATTTTATGAGCTAAAACAAATATCTTCAGTTAATAAAAAAAAAAATATATTCTTCACGACACTATCTGTCAATCAAAATACCCCACCTTGCCTCCCCCCCCTCTTCCCACCATGCCAGCTGGGTCGGTCGGTCCCTCCCTCCCCCTCACCCCCCACCTTCCCTCCCTACCAGAGAAATGTTTGGGAGAAACCAGAATATTTACCTTTTTAGTAATAAATAATACCTCAGACTAAAGTTAGGATAATATAGTTCACATTCCTGGATTCCTTGCAAGACCAGGAATATTTTGAATATGCACGTCATATATTTTGCTCAAAAGATAACATATTTGCTCTGAGTAAACAAAATACTTGCATTAGATCTAAATTTTGTATGTCTAATGCAAAATCTATGATGCTTATATTCAAAATGATCATCAAATTGTAAGAATTCCAGCAATGTAAATTGTATTCTGGCCGGGTAATTTTATGAGCCAAATAAAAAAATTATACTTCACCCGTGTATATGAGTAGATGCACCACGTAAAGTGGGAATTCCGGTTCTGGCAGGGTACCCCGTAAATGTAAAAACACGTAAAAAGTGCGTAAAGTGAAACCACGTAAAGCGAGGGTTCACTGTAGTACTGTATATATATATATATATATATATATATATATATATATATATATATATATATATATATATATATATATATATATATATATATATATATATATATATATATATATATATATATATATATAATCTAAAATGGGTGTCTCTTTTTCTTCTCATCACCACAAAACTCTCACTTTTAAGCTTGCCAGCCATTTTAAAGTGAATTGCAGACAAAAATTTTGTCAGTACACAGCACAATCACTAACGTCAGGACTCGAAAATACGTAATTTGACAAAATTTTGGTACAACTGAGGCGGTCGTATATCCGAGTGGTTGCTAGTCACTATAACCACACAAATTGTGAAAGTCTGTGATGTCACGAAAGATATTCAAGAACTGTGAGTGAGATGTATACTGTGTTTAGCATTTATCTTGTTTACTTTGTTTTGTAGGTTGTAACCCACCAATTTAGCTCTCCTCCCCCTCACAAAATAATTTAATTCTACTAAAGTCTTCCAGGTATCAGACAGGATACATTACAGGCAACCCTCGCTTTACGTGGTCCCACTTTACGCGTTTCCACGTTTACACGGTACCCTGCCGAAACTGGAATGCTCACTTTCCGCGGTGTGTGTACCCTTTTACGCGGAGAGCGGCACGAGCAGGGTACGCACATGGTCGCCCAGTCAGCAAAACATTACCGAGTTCTTCACCCGCCACCCACCACAGCCGGCCCAAGTCAGTGATAGTGATAATGATAGTGAGGATATGGACTTATATGGACTTTGAGGGGTTTGACAAAGAGGCCCTGCAAGCCTCTGTGGTGGATAGTGATACAATTGATACAAGTGATAAAGGTGAGGGCCAATAATCTGCCCTCTGCCTCGGAACCAACCCCCCATCCCCGTGTGCCCAGCCATCTTTTCTACTAATGTAAGTGTTAAAAAACCTAATATTATTGATATTTCTCTTAATTATTAATTGTGTGTGCATACCATCATAAAATTAAGAAGTTATTTTTACTACAACGTAGGTATTGTGTCTAAAAAGTGGAGTTTGGGGGTCGGCCCGGTCACTATTTCAATTAATCCCATATGTTATGTTGTTCACTTTACGCATTTCTCACTTTACGCGGGCCGCCGTGGGTTGAATTAACTGCGTAAAGTGAGGGTTCACTGTATTATCATTTAATAAGTAAACATACCGGTATACAGTACTGTACTGTAGAGTAGTACCTTAATTTTTTTTCTTTTTTTACAGTATGTAAATAACATCTACAGAGATATTGTGAGTACTTATTCTGTTCTTTAAGAAAATGATAGTTTTATGTTCTCAAATTTTCTTGATCTATTTTTTTATGCTAAATTTTTTATGTTAATGTATTGTTACATAAAATTTTTATTACTGAATAGTTGAGTCATTATACTGTATAGTACATTATACAGTAGCCTTGGGTTGCTTTGTCAAGAAAGAGACTGAGAACATTTGTGAAATAAAAATTCACAATACAGTATAAAAATACCTGCCCTGTACATGTAATTCAATACAAACTAAGAGACTATGGACAAAAGGTCCAAAAATTTTACCAGGGCTTAAAAGGTTTATTTTAATATACATGAGAAAGAAATGTACAGTAGTATGATACACCATGGAAATAAAAAGAGTACTCTACAAAATTGTCGTGCTTCCTTCTACTGAAGCAGTGTTCCATAGAATACAGTGTGTGATAAAAATGGATGGTAGTTATGCTTATGAATTAGTAATGTGAGCAAATTTTCCAGTAAAAAGTAAATACATTCTCACCTCATGAAAAGCTCCAAAAGATAGGCAAGAATAAGTTTTTCATGTTGTTTTTTCATTTTTTTTCTGTGGATGAAAGTAATTCTATCCCAGATATAAAAATTGGAGCTATTGCATCACAGTGCATGGCCATGCATTTGTTTGGGATGGCATCCACAGTCACTACCTACTACTGTACTGTACTGTACATAGAGTATAGATACAGTACTAAAAAGCAAATTAATTTCAAGAAGCAGTATTTTAATCACTCTTTGTTCATTAATTTACACCATTTGCCGGCTCGAATAGACTGTTTGTCAATTAGAAAGGACTTCCACCAAAATTGAAATGACTATTATAACTATGAAATGACAGTTTCACCTGAACTTACATGTCATTGACAATAAAATGACACTGGCAGTTGTAAGTGACATCATGGTACACTGAAATGAAATAAAGAATTTGAATTTAAAAAGAAGTTGAACAGAATTGCATATTTCAATTTAGACAATGTACATTCCAATGTACAAGATAACATAGTGGTCCCATACATTTCACCATGAGTCCTAAATATTAATGAACCAAGTAGGTTTACCATCCAACAGTCATTGAACTCTATAAGCTGAGGTTCAGTGATGAAACAGTAATCTGCCTGTATAGACTGTATTAGAAAGAGGATGAGATAAAGTTGGGATATTGATATTATCACACATTTTATTTGATAGAAATAGTTTTTATGTGTATCACATTTTCTTCCACAGGCTTTGAAATGGGAACGTAAAATTGATAATGAAGTTGAAGAGATTACTTATGATGAACATGTGCTTCATAGTGACTCACCCAGAATTTCTCTAGAACTTGACATGGATGGAAATGGTACCAGATATGATTTGATAATCAGTCCTGTGCAAGTTAATGATACTGGGGTTTACACATGCACCTTGGATAATAATGATACAGTCCTGACCCGTGAAATCAGCCTATCTGTGAGTGGAGCACCACAATACGGTAATAATTTTCTCATCTGTTCTTCCAGTGAAGGGTATACGATAAGTTCTCAAGGCGTAGAAAAAACAAATGTTTTCTATACCTGCTCAGCTATCTTGCTTTATAGTGGAAGCAAATTTGAAATCTTGGGGAAAATGTATTAATACTTGGCAATGTAGTTGACGATCATTTTACCATCGATCGATTATGCGAGCCAGGGGTTTACCGTGCTTTATTCATTGAAACCGATGCTATTATTTAATCACACCAAACAACACTTAACCACATTTGGAAGATAATTAATTTTCAAATTTCCCGCCGCAGTCCATGCGGGAATTGGCAGGCAAGGGGTGGAAGCAATGCTGCGAGGCTACCAGACTCAAGTGTCTCACTGTCCATTAATGTATGCAGATCTAGGCTACTTGCTATAATCTTGTAGCGTACTATTGCGTATTGTTTCATGATTTTATAGGTTACGAGTTATGTAAGGTTATTGTGTATTGTATGATTTGACTTGATACAAGTTAACCAGTGTGAAAAAGTATGATAATTTAGCTCAATAAATCTATCTATTTAAACTAAAAAATCAATAAATTTTCAAAATTACAAGTACTGTATGTACAGTAATTCCAAGATTCTACCTTGAGATTGGGAGATTGAACTCCTTACATTCTGTGAGCTACTATCACCCACACAGGGTGAGTCAGCTGTTAAGTTCACAACCACACACTTTAATGTAATAGATTGCTTTATATGGGTTGGCTTGGCAAATTAACATTTGTTTTGTGCATATCATTTTTCATTATTAAGTTTTTAGTTTTTAGTCACACTATTTTTATTGAGTTATTTGGTAGATACGTGCAAGCAGTGGCGGACTGGCCCACTGGGATACCGGGAAATTTCCCGGTGGGCCCCAAAGTGATTGTCCATCACTTTGGAAATAACGTAAAAAAGAGATATGAGGTTTATGAGATGTTAACTCAATCCGCCCTGATGTGACCGAATGCTTAAAACCTTTACCGGTACTTTTATTTGATTCCCTTGACTATGTTTTGGGATTAAGTGGGCCCTTTTGGACCCTTTTGAGTGGGCCCTTTTACAAGTTTTTCCGGTAGAAATTTTTTACCCAGTCCTCCACTGCATACAAGTAAAATACTGTAAAGAAATGTGGCAACTTGGCTGTCGGTGGCCAGCTGCATGGACTGTGAATGGAGAAATTTATTTTTCTTATACTTTTACATAAATATTTATGGTACTTGATGCAACTACTGAATTTATGTATTTTAAAACCTACCATCATGAAAACAGTATACAGTATGCCTGTATTTATTATAAATACCAAGAGTTAAGAGCTGTATCAAGTGCCATAAATATTTGTAAGTAGGGTACATGTCACCATTTATAACTGAGCACACATGACCCAGTCACACAGCTCTCATGAAGCTTGCCAGACATTTATTAAGTTACCCAGTAAACCCTTGTTATTCACAAGGGATAGGTTCCATGGAATGGTGTGAATTGGCAAAAACACAAATAGCAACTTAAACTACCTTAATGCACTACTGTAAACCTATACCAAACAACCAACCAGCCACGGTAGCACTCATCCCATCTTTTATCTAATAATTCAACTTTCATTGTCAGGGTCATCACTGACTTCTGCCTTTTACATTTCACTCCACTAGCATCACTAACGCTGATACTAGGCAGTCTTTTAGGGGCCATTTTACACAAAAGAAACTAAAGTTTTGAGAGTACAATATGAGATGCTGCATGGGGTGACTCGTTGTGCTGTGGGAAAAGGCTCGCAAGCTAGTCATCATATGCTTACCGCCAATCGCTGAAATCGTGAATTGCAAACCTGCGAATGGCAAGGGTCTACTCTACATCCCTGAAAGGTATTATAGTTAGCCACTAAACAAGCAGGAATAGAATAATAGTGGTAGCGATACACAACCATTTGCATTTAGTTGTGTTACAAGCTTATCTCAATTTTTTCTCAGGGGGAGGGGGGGGGGTGAGACCCAATCATACTTAGGGCTTAATTGTACAAGTGAACCACCTCTCAAGCACGGTAAAATGATCATCTACTGTACTGTGATAAAATCTGTGCTGCACACAGCTGTTTTCTACATTAGATTTGTTGCTGCCCATAGATATTTCTGTTTCTAATTTAAAGTGACTTTATTAACAACATTGTGAAACATTACTAAAAAAAAACAATTGAAATATCTTGTTGCACCTTTCCCCAAACATCGTTTGTGATTTCCATTAACTCCTATCTAAGTCTGCAGTGGGAATTTGGTATTTTGGGCTAGAAACTTTAATTGAATTACCACGATGTAATAAAGTAATCAATTATGCATAATATTAAGTAATGCAGATAATACATGACTCATGTCAATTTCGAAAATTATAAGCAGAAATAAAGTTTAGTGTACCCACATTTAAATATTTCCTTGGCCACTTCCAGTAGCCCATGTTCCTTTCTACAGGTTGCCCTTCCCAATTATGGTGATATGATTCTTTTTTTTTTTTTTTTATGATTGTAGTATCTAGTATTACATCTTCTCCTTCATTTAAATTATTAATTATCATCTTCATTGACCTATCATCAAATGTGTATATCACAAATTGTTCTTGTTCTATTCACTGGCATAATCCTGATGGTTAGACAGCTGTGAACTTCCTGACCATTGGGCTGGGGACTGGTGGACTGCCAGCAAAGTTTATACCATCAGTGGTAACAACTTTGGAGACAATATCTGCACAACATCCTCTGGTAACAAGTTCCTCATGAAAGAGTAAGTATTATCATGAAGGTATTTTTATAATCTTTATTTTTAAAGTACCCGGTAGTGACATTATAAATAGCAAGACTTGAGATTACCGTCATCAGTATTCCTATTGTTCTAGTAAATCAAGAGCTTTTGGGCTAAATAACATTTAGTGAGGTAATAGTTAAGCAGATTTTAATCATGTACAGTAAACCCTCCCAATATTGGACTAATTTGTGCAAGCCCTGTCCATCATTGGGAGGTTTCTGTGAATGGGAGTTTTTTCTTCCCATTCCTGACCATCAAAATGCACTTCTTATATGGTACCTTAATTACATGAGCTGTATACATGCACTTCTTTCCTTACGTGAGCTTGGCATTAAAATGGCAGTGTAACACAGAACACAGAGATATTGAGGATAATATGCTCATAGATCTCAGTGACAGTGTTTAAAGGAAGATGCCTAACAACAACACACTGAGTGTAGATTAAATGCACTAGTATTTCCTTGAAACAGATGTTTTAAAACAATTTAATATTGGTATATTCTCTAAATAAAATATTCAATATAAACCTATTATATTAATGTGTGTGCGTGCATGCGTGAGAGAGAGAGAGAGAGTACTGGGGTGTATAGGAATCTGTTACGATTTATGAACTGATTAAAAACTATCTAAGTGTATTACAAAATTTTAAAGGTGGTTTGTATTTTCAGGAACAATGGCTGTTACAGCTGCTTTATCATGACTGAGAAGCATCACAATGTAATTAATTACCAGAGATGTAAGTTATTTGTATTACAGTATTATTGATAAGAAAAATACGTTTGTGTTATGTGTCCCATTATTTCACTATTGAATAAAAGTTTCTCCCATTTTCTTCTCATTCCTGTCCATTGGGTATTTTCGAAGTTCCAGATTTTATCTTTATGTACAGTAGTTGGATTTGTCTCCAGTCTTTACCGTCCTCTTTGTATCAGCATCTTTGTTCCTCTATTCATCAGTTCGTGTTCTGTAGCACAACCACTTCTCTTCAGTTGTTTAACTCCTGATATAATGTCTCTTACTAAAGTTTCAGATGTGACCTCCTTATATTTTTAACCCCAGGCTTTGATCCCGTCATATAACGAATGCTTACAGAGGGCTTTGGTTCCTGTCATGTGACGGATTAGTATTTCGCTGTACTGTTTGCATCACCACACACACCTGGGTGGATTATGTTGCAAAGTAGGCATTTATCTTTTGCCCACTAATGCATGCAAATGTCTCAGCCTCCCCTCTCTGTACAATATAGCATTTCAGCTTTTGTGGTGTAGAGATCTCGCTTGACTTCACGTGCCTCGCCACATGTTTCTATCCCCCGAGCACAAGTGTAGTAGGGGTACGGACCATTGCAGATTCATGATCAATTACTGGAGACAGTAATAATTATTGTAAATAGTATAAATAGTAATGACTTAGTAAAACCAGTATTGTGTACCTCACATGCCTACACATCAGTGTTTTGTATATTGTACTGCCAACCTTACCAAACTGCCTCACAGACACACACACACACATATATACAGCTCCTCCCTGACTTATGACCTAATATATATATATATATATATATATATATATATATATATATATATATATATATATATATATATATATATATATATATATATATATATATATATATATATATATATATATATATATATATATATATATATATATATATATATAAAGACACACACACACACACACACACACACATATATATACAGGTACTCCCCGACTTATGACCTACTCGACTTACGACCACCCGCACTTATGACCTGCCTCAGTCGTACCAAAATTTTGTCAAATTACATATTTTTGAGTCCCAACTTCAGTACACAGACAAAATTTTTGTTTGTAATTCACTTTAAAATGACTGGCAAGCTTAAAAGTGAGAGTTTTGTGGTGCTAAGAAGAAAAAGAGACACCCATTTTAGATTTTCTGTGTATTATTTAAGCAGTTTAGACTTACGACCACATTTCAACTTAGGACCTGGATTTGGGTCCCTAACCCCTTCGTAAGTTGGGGAGGAGCTGTATTATCAAATCAGCAACAATGCTCCTCTTAGTTTTAAGAAACTAACCTAACCTACTTAACTTAAGTTTAAATTTTCCAGATCCTGTTTAATATACTGTATAGTGTTTCACATTTTGACCTTCAAAGAGTTCTGATAACTGAATTGTGTGTACATTACTGTACATTTGTGATAGTAATTAAATAGAAAAATTAGTAAGATCGTTTAGGTATCCTTATTTATATGATTGGTTATTGATACTTTTTTTACAGCTCCGTGTTCAAGATATTTGGATTTGAAAGCAGTCTGCTCCATGGTAGAAAACAATGATCATCATGCTGTAATGATACGCAAGAATGCTGTAGCCGCTTGCCCATTCACTAGATCCCGGTCTTTCATCTATCAGTTGGAACATGGGAGATGCAGTGAAAGAAAATCCATGCTCTTATCTGAGAAAAATGATACAGAACTTTTATTCTTATATAATCCTTGCCCAGATCAGACTAACCCAAATATTTTTCCATACCGTAAGTACAATACATGGATTTAAAAAAAAATTATAATTTGATTTTACAGAAGATTTTATAAGTATTATGGCTTACAAAGTGTGATGATACAGGTGTTTCATGTGCAGTAATTTATATATATATATACACAGGGGGCCCCCCCAAGTTCGCGGATTTTTATTTTGCGGTCCTCTATTATTTGCGGATGTCTCTACACCGCAGGTTAGACACCCTAGAGCAGCACGATGAATGCTAAGCTTCCCTCTCGGCAGGTACAGACTCCCCAGATGCGCCTGCTGGGGTCGGTAGGACGTGGTGCTTGGGGCAGGAAGAGGAGCTGGTGTCTGCTTAGAGAAGCATTGCTGCTCTAGGGTGTCTAACCTGCGGTGTAGAGACAGTAGCTGTAGAGCCGATGAGAGCTGCCTCTGCATGGTTAAGCCAGTCTTCCATGTTGCTTGAAAACTGGGAGAGCGATCGGTTTCTCCTCCATCCTGTGTGAGTGCGAATCTCCGGGGGTCACCATTTGTGGGGTTATGAGATATTGGTTTACACTCAGGATGGGATGGGGAAAGGAAACTCACAATGTGCTCTCTGTATACGTGTTGTATTGGATGTACAATGCAGCTTGGTGCTGGGAAGGCAGCATGGTTACAAGCGTTGAGTAGAGAGCTGGTTGGTGAGGGTGCTCAGAGGAGGACACACAGCTTGTGGGTCGGCATGGTCACCGGCCGGAGCGAGGGCCACCAGGCAGGAGTGGAGGAGGAGGTGTTACTTGAAGACTGGCTGTAGGTAGAAAGAGGTAGGTCACCACGAGGTAGGCGTGGCTTAATAGGTGACCTCAGTTGTGTAAGGCGGCGCTGGTTGCTAACCTAGACACGAGGGCAGGCTGGTGAAATTCGTGAGGTCGGCTACTCGCGACAAAAGCGTTTGTAGGGGAGGAATCCACTACAGCCCAACGCCTTACCAATCACTGAGAGTGTTTTGCCTTTTTCAGAACGTTTAATTACATCAACTTTCACTACCATTGTAAATGTTTTCTTTTTCTTGGATTCACTAATATCATTTGCATCAGGTTTGCATTTGGGAGCCATAATGAGGGCCGAGGATATAAGAAAAAGAGAGTTAATAAGCAAATAACAACAGTTTGCTCTAGATCCCACACGTTATAGCAGTGAGGATAAAGCCTACTGATATCTTTCTCCCTGAAGGTGTGTAACTGGGTGTGATGCATCAGTCCCGATGCGCCGCTCCGCCTCCCCTCTATGCCTTGCAAAGTAGTTCTCGTACGTAACTGCTACAACTCGTTGTACTTATGTCGGATTTTTAATATAATTGACCTTATGGGACCTCGTTCGTATCTGCGGGTGGGCCTGCGTAAGTCTGACGTTCATAAGTCGGGGTCCCCTGTTTGTGTGTATATATATATATATATATATATATATATATATATATATATATATATATATATATATATATATATATATATATATACACACACACACAGTATAGTCTCGTTTTACGCGGTCAATTAAACCTATGGAGGTACGCGTTTAACGCGAAACGCATAAACGAAATCACAGAACATATGGGATTAATTGAAATAGAGACTGGGCCGACCGCCAGACTACCCTTTTTCCGACACAATACGTACATTGTAGTAAAAATAACATCTTAATTTTATAATGATATGCACACACAATTAATATTTAAGAGAAATATCAATAATATTAGGTTTTTAACACTTACGTTAGTAGAAGAGATGGCTGGGCACACGAGGATGGGGGGTTGGTTCCAAGGCAGAGGGCAAATTATTGGCCCTCACCTGTATCACTTGTATCACCTGTATCAATATCCACCACAGAGGCTAGCAGGGCCTCCTTGTCAAACCCCTCAAAGTCCATATCATCACTATCACTGATTTGGGCTGGCTGTGGTAGGTGGCGGGTGAAGAACTTGGTAATGTTTTGTTGACTGGACAAGCAAGGTTAAATAGACCAATCACAGCTCGCGGCGGAGGGGATGCGTGGCCCATTGACAGTCTGAAACATCATCTGACGTCAGCGGTGACGTAAGAGCGACCTAGCGCGCAGCTTGTCCGCATCACCTCCCGCGTAAATTCAAGAATGTACCGCGTAACTAATACTGTACTTGGCGCGTCTGGACAGGTGCCGCGTAAATGACCAACCGCGTATAAAAGAATCCACGTAAACTGAGACTATACTGTCCCGGCAACCTCGGGACCTGACCGGTGCCGGACCATGGAAATTCACCCTTTTCCTGGACAGATAGTGACTTGCGCTTAAGTTAGCACCACTTTCACTGCTTCGTGGTCTCTTTGAAGACATATTGAAGGGTTACCGTATATCTCAGCCTATAAGGCGTCGGGGTGCATAAGACGGCCCCCCCCAAATTTCCATTTAAAAAGTAGCTTTTGAGCTCTATTCAATGTATAAGACCAGTACCCCAAATGTGACACTTACCCACTGACTCAGTAGTCCTTTACCAACTTTCCTTGATTTTTTAAAATAAGGCCAATTCACTTCAAGTAATGTCATCAAATGTTACCCGCTGGTGTAGTGTAAACACTAGTGACGTCACTGAAGCATCTGCTATTTACCGGTAACTGGAACTAATGTCTGTGTCTAGTAAAATTTGTCCATTTACTTGAAATATATATATATATATATATATATATATATATATATATATATATATATATATATATATATATATATATATATATATATATATATATATATATATATATATATATATATATATATATATATATATATACACACACACACACACAGTATAGTCTCGTTTTACGCGGTCAATTAAACCTATGGAGGTACGCGTTTAACGCGAAACGCATAAACGAAATCACAGAACATATGGGATTAATTGAAATAGAGACTGGGCCGACCGCCAGACTACCCTTTTTCCGACACAATACGTACATTGTAGTAAAAATAACATCTTAATTTTATAATGATATGCACACACAATTAACGCGGTCAATTGAACCCACAGGGTACCGCGTTAAGTGAAAACCGCGTTAAGTGAACAACAGAACATATGGGATTAATTCCAATAGAGACTGGCCCGACCCCCAAACTCCACTTTTTGACGACACACAACTATGTTGTAGTAAAAATTTCATCTTAACTTTATGATGGTATGCACACACAATTAATAATTAAGAGAAATATCAATAATATTAGGTTTTTTAACACTTGCATTAGTAGAAAAGATGGCTGGGCACACGGGGATGGGGGGTTGGTTCCGAGGCAGAGGGCAGATTATTGGCCCTCACCTGTATCACTTGTATCAATTGTATCACTATCCACCACAGAGGCTTGCAGGGCCTCTTTGTCAAACCCCTCAAAGGCCATATAAGTCCATATCCTCACTATAATTATCACTATCACTGACTTGGGCCGGCTGTGGTGGGTGGCGGGTGAAGAACTCGGTAATGTTTTGATGACTGGGCGACCTTGTGCGCATCGTGCCCGTGCCGCTTCCCGCGTATATGATGAAAAATTCCACGTTAAGTGAAAGTTCAGCTCTGGCGAGGCACCGCGTATATGATAAAACGCGTTAAGTGAAACCGCGTTAGGCGGGGTAATACTGTATATATATATATATTTATATATATATATATATATATATATATATATATATATATATATATATATATATATATATATATATATATATATATATATATATATATATATATATATATATATACATACATATTTATATATATATACAACAAAATATATGTTAAATGAATTATTTATGGTGCATTAGGATACTGGTCACTTCAGACACAAAGACGGGTTATAAATAGCCTTCTTTATCTCCCCTCCATCTCACCCTGAGCGAGAGGGAAGGGTCATGGTAAATAACATTTGTTTGCTTATTTTCCATTTACTTGAAATAGATTTACCGAATTATTTGTTTATTTATTTAAGTCATTGACTGAATATTCTATGTAAAAAATAAATTTTAAATTAATTATTTATAGGAGATAAATATTATGATCAGTAAATATATGGTATTACTGGCCACTTCAGACACAAAGACGGGATAAAAATAGCCCATCTCCCCCTCTTCTTACAGCTGCCAATGGGAAGCGTCTTGGTAATTAAATTTGATGTTTATTTTCATTGTCTAATTTATCATGTATCAAAGTAATATTACTAAAAATTGTGTAGGTAGTAGGCAGCTACCAAACAGGTAGATACTACCGCCTGGGAAGATATTGGAAGCATAATGTGTTGTCTAATGGTAGACCCTGCTGCCATATGGCATCACGAAAATTGTGACCAAGTCCCAGGTTCAGCGCTGACCTGACTTTCTGCCTCATTTACACACAATTGCAGTTTCAATTGTTCCTCTAACTTTGACAACACAACATACATACAGTATATTATTTCTCACTTATGATCTTTTTTTTTACTTTTTGTATTTATTTATGGTTAGTTACTTAAAATAAGGCCAATTCACTTCAAGTAATGGCATCAAATGTTACCAGCTGGTGTAGTGTAAACACTAGTGACGTCACTTAAGCGTCTGTATTTAACTGTCAGTCGTTTCAAGAATTAATGCAGTCATTTACTGAATATTCCTTGTAAAAAAATAAATTTTAAATTAATTATTTATAGGAGATAAGTATTATTATCAGTAAATATACCGATATGCATTACTGACCACCTCCACGGCTAAAAATAGCCCAATCTCGCGGTCACTTTCCCTTTCTTGTCTCCTCACTGGCAAATGGGGGGGGCTTGGGGAGGTTTATAATACATTTTTATTATTTTAATATACCGGTAATCTTAATTTGAATCCAGCTTGCCAAACGTAAGTTTCAGTATAAAATAATTAGTGGGAAGACCTTGTGAGTGGCTTACGATGTTTCCATCACCACTCTTGACACACTAAACCACAATATTTAAGAGGTAAGAATTTTATACTTGGTGGTTTAGACGACCCCCTAACTTTGGGCAGATTTTTTTAATGTTCAAATTCCGTCTTATAAGTCTAGATATACGGTAAATATCTTACAGTAGCTTCTCAAATTTCGCAAGTTTTTAATTCAGCGTTTTTTATTTGGACACAAAAAAAAAACACTACATAATTTAAAATTTTGACGAAGGAAACTCGAATTTCGACGGGTTTCAACGGCCCGCCAACGTTCAGACGACGTGCGCAATCGTGTAAACAGCGTCATTTCTCTTATGTACAAAAGATTCATTATTGTTTATTACTGAATGTCTTTTTTATTGAATTAATGTTTATATGTGCAAAATGAGCAATACAATTCATTAATATTACGTAGAATATTAAAACACACGAGGAAATGAGAGAGCATTGTTTTCGTTGATTACAAAACCAGTGACTGAGTGGCTCTACATATAAAACAAGAAAGTATGACCCTGGTTGTAGCTGTAGCAAAATTAATGTAAAAAATTAATATGGTTGTTTTAAGTAATGTTATTTATTGTTAATAAATAGAACAATAAAAGTAACAAACCATTAATGTTAAAGAAAAAAGTGAGACTGCGCGTATGTAAGTGAGCACATGTGAAAAACATATCGTCATTACTCTACATAAGAATATGAAAGGAACACTTATTTACTGTTCATATATGATTTAATTAATGTTTCTGATTTTTTTTTTTAGTGAATTAATGTTTATGTGCGCAAAATGAACAATACAATTCATTAATAATTCATGGAATATTAATACACACGAGACGAGACGAGACGAGACGAGACGGGACGGCTGCCGGCATTGTTTTCATTAATGTTTACAAAACCAGTGACTGATTGGTTCTACATATAAAACAAGAAAATAAGACCCTGGTTGTAGCTGTAGTAAAATTAATGTAAGAATTAATATGGTTGTTTGAAGTAATGTTATTTAATGTTAATAAATGGAACAATATAAGTAGCTAACCATTAATTTTAAAGAAAAAAAGTGATTATGCTCGTATGTAAGTGAGCACAGATGAAAATATATAGTCATTACTCTACATAAGAATATGAAAGCAACACTTATTTACTGTTCATATATATTGAAGGGTTAAATGTTGTACTCTGTACTGTATAGACAAACAGAGAGAGAGAGCGCCAAACTGCCGGATGTAAACAAACCTTAATTTCCCGCTTTTTTTTTTTTTAAGGGGATTAGCTGCCTATCTACCTATTGGGCAAACTAAAATCATTCCAGACCACGGGAGTTTCCGGACCACAGAATGCCAGACTAGAGAGGTACAGGTTGACAATCCCTTATCCGAAATCCTTGGGGCTAGAGGCATTTCGGATTTCGGAACATTTCGGTTTTCAGAATGGTTATTTTTTTTTTTTTTTTTTTTTTTTAGCCCACCCGGGCATAGATCACTGACCCACATCAGGGCCTGGGGGGCAAAAATATAATAAAAATTATTATAATAATAATAATAATAATAATTCATAGGTCTAGATCGTGTTTCTCACTTTTGATCCTTTTTTCATTCTTGTATTTCTTTATTATTATTATTATTATTATTATTATTATTATTTTATTACAGTGAACCCTCGCTTTACTCGGTCAACTGAACCCACGGCGGCCCGCGTAAAGCGAGAAACGCGGAAAGTGAACAACATAACATATGGGATTAATTGAAATAGAGACCGGGCCGACCCCCAAACTCCACTTTTTCCCGACACAATACCTGTGTTCTAGTAAAAATAACATCTTAATTTTATGATGGTACGCACACACCATTAATATTTAAGAGAAATACATTCGCCAAGTTAATGTCCATTCAAATAATGGACTCAACTCCTGCCCCCCTCCTCTTCTCACACTCGCTGGCTCCTCCCTCTCTGAGAAATGTTTGGGGGAAAACACTAGATTTTAAGGTATAGTAATAAATAACACCTCAAACTAAAGTTAGGATAATATAATTGACATTGCTGGATTCCTTGCAAGACCAGGAATATTTTGAATATACATGTCATATATTTTGCACAAAAGATAACATATATGCTCTGAGTAAACAAAATACTTACATTAGATCTAAAATTTGTATGTCTAATGCAAAATCTATGATGTTTATATTCAAAATGATCATCAAATTGTAAGAATTCCAGCAATGTAAATTATATTCTGGCCGGGTAATTTGTATGAATTTTATGAGCTAAAACACATATCTTCAATATCTTCAATCAAAATACCCCACCTCCAGCTCCCCCCTGATCGCTGGGTCGGTCCCTCCCTCCCTCCCTACCCTACCCCACCCCCCACCCCCCACCTTCCCTCCCTACCAGAGAAGTGTTTGGGTTAAAACGGTATATTTACATTTTTTTGTAATAAATAATACCTCAGACTAAAGTTAGGATAATATAATTGACATTGCTGGATTCCTTGCAAAACCAGGAATATTTTGAATATACACGTCATATATTTTGCGCAAAAGATAACATATTTGCTCCGAGTAAACAAAATACTTGCATTAGATCTAAAATTTGTATGTCTAATGCAAAATCTATGATGTTTATATTCAAAATGACCATCAAATTGTAAGAATTCCAGCAATGTAAATTATATTCTGGCCGGGGAATTTGTGTGAATTTTATGAACTAAATAAAAAAAATTATAGTTCACCCGTGTATATAAGTAGATGCACTGCGTAAAGTGGGAATTCCGTTTCTGGCAGGGTACCGCGTAAATGTAGAAACGCGTAAAAAACCCACGTTTACAGTACTCCTGTATTATTGTTATTTTTATTAATTTTATTATTATATTTTATTATTATTATTATTATTATTATTATTATTATTATTATTAATGTTATATTATTTTATTTTGGTGTATTTTTATTAAAATTTTTATTTACTATGAATGATTATTATTATTATAATTATTATTACTATTACATTTTCGCCCCCCCAGGCCCTGATGTGGGTCAGTGATCTATGCCGGTGGGCTAAAAAAAAAAAAAAAAAAAAAACTTTAAAAAACTTTCGGTTTTCAGAGCTTTTCGTTTTTTTTTCGTATAAAGGGTTGTCACCTGTATATATATATATATATATATATATATATATATATATATATATATATATATATATATATATAGAGACTACGTGGACTTACGACCGTCGGGACTTACGACCGCCTCAGATATAGATAAAAAAAAAAAATTTTTAAATGACACACGCATTTTCTATACCGAAACGTTTCCAGTTAATGTAGTCTCCATGTATAATTAGAAAATTATGGGGGCCCCATGTGCATTCAGCTGACTACATTAAAGGTTAAGTGCTCAGTCACACTGTATCCATTCCTTATTATTTATTACTTTCACTGTACTGTATCCATTCATCATTATTCATTACTTTTACTGTACTGTATTTCATTGTAGATTTTTTATTAAAAAAAAAAAATTATCTATATGGACTTACGACCTGGATTTGAGCCCTAACCCCGTCGTAAGTGGAGGTCTAGGAATATATATATATATATATATATATATATATATATATATATATATATATATATATATATATATATATATATATATATATATATATATATATATATATATATATATATATATATATATATATTTGTGTGTGTGTGTGTGTCTGTCTGTCTGTCTGTCTGTCTGTCTGTCTGTCTATATATATATTGATTTGTATTCTATGAATTAATGTTGATAGACACTTTGTTACAATTACTGTACTTATGTTACAGCTAAAAGTGTTGGTTGTGTGGCTCAATGGAGTGAAGGATCCACTAATTTCTTCATGGGGAGGCTTGAAGGGTTACTAAACACAAGAGAGAAGTACATCTGTTACACATACAAGGAAGAGAATAATGAAGATTATATCTATCGTATGAGACAGACAGCATCTGAAATATGTGGAGCTTTGGAGGGAAATTCTGGTACAACATACAAAGTGTACGGTGAATCTCAAGGTATGGTAGACCTGTGATTTTTTAGAAATAAGTGTATAATTATGTAATAGAACAATAATGACGATTAGCATCAATAACCTAGCAGGAATTATAAGAAAACTTTGTTTGTCAAGTGTTGTTTATTAAGAATTTGTGAAAATGTTGGTATGGTGTGAAATATCAAAACTACATAATATGCTTAAGTGATGATTGATATAAGTGATATCCCCATTAGTCAGAACAATTAGTGCACAGCTCTTCCAGGGATGAGAGATTTCTGGATAATGAGATGAATCTTTCAAACTCAGAAAAAATCCTACATCTCGGAATTTTTCTGGGTAAACTGGAAAAAGTTTCTGTGAGTCTAAGCTGTGCTTCTTGCATGGACAGACACTATCATACATCCCTGGAATGTTTCTCGGTGCTGGGAAAGTTTGCCGAGAGTCTAAACTATGTATCTCATCTCCCACGGACAAACACTCTCCCGTTACAGTTATTCCGCGGGAACGAGCAAAAATATTTGCTGCCTAGCAATAACACGCCAGGCCAACTTACAGGCAATTAAAACATCTAATAATTACTTGATAAGTAATATTAGGACACGTCGCTACCTGGCATTTAATTGCAATTCTCAAAACCCCATTAACTTTTATGCACAACATCTTCTCTACTATGTTGGAGATGAATTGGGTACCAGAATGATCCTGAATAAATTCTGTACAAGACTGCTCCATTAAAAGATCTTAAGCAAAATATTTTGACATGTTGTAATGATGGGGATTCGATTTTTTTATGAAAACACATAAGAAATGTTGATACAGAAGTCTATAAAACAGTTCTAATTAAGTAAGAATTTTTTTTTTTTACCAAAATAATCTGAATAATTTATGTAATAGTTTCCTTAAATACATTAAAAAAAAAATCTATATGATACGGATGTGCGAGGCATGAATGGAGCTGTGTGTCACGTAAGACAGGGATTTTCCATCCTGCATTGGGGAAAGTTTTCCCCAAGTCTAAAAGACACATCATGCACAGAGCTGTATTTATTTATTTATGCAAACACCTCTGGACATGTACAATGTATTATAAATAAACAAAATAATGTGTTCTGTATGTGTAGGTTTTACTGTATCATATGTCTGAGATGTCTCCATAGGTGTGAGCATATTAACGGAATTAATCTTGATTTTGCGAACTGATTCAGTAAATTGGGTGGAAAATTAAAAAAAAAAGCCTTCTGCTAAATTGAGAGTTCATTGTATCAGATTCCGTTAAATCGAGAGTATACTGTAGTAATATGTGTACTACTGTATACAAAATGCATTGTCGTCCATCGATAATATCTTGAGAGTAACTGACTTAGAACATATAACACGGTTGCAGTATCCACAATATCAGCCTGTCATCGATATTATCGATGCAGTGAAATACAGTATTAACCTTTCTAGGTTTGAAAATAAATGACCTACATTGTACTGATGTTGGAATGTACTGGGTGATATAAAAGAGCTGATAGCCCATGTGCTATGGTTGTTGCATACAGTACTGTACAGGTAATTACGAAAAGTAATTGTATTCAGGAAAATTCATGTCCACTGCCATTTAAGAACATATTCCTCACGAATACTCAAGAAAGGGTGTACTGTACAACAATTCACAACCAAGAAAATTTTCTGGCTTATTTAAAGCGTTGCTACGAACTCTAGAGTGAGAAGACCATTAAATACGTCTTTGAAATTTTATTTATTTGAGAAACGTTAAATAATTTAATATGTGTCCTTGAATATGTTTTTGAATTAATAAATATCAATCAAAGACAATCTATCAGTTGAGTAAAGTTCCTCCTGCATGGGCAGCCTGCAGCAAGTACTGTATATACAGTGGGGTATGCTATAACGAACGTAATTGGTTCCAGAACCTCGTTCGTTATAGCATTCGTTCGTTATAGGATTAATCCGTTCCAGGCCCCCAAATACAACCACCTAACACTGAAAAAATTCTGTGAAAAATGTAAAAAATACAGTACTTTATCTTACCTTAGTGTTATTCAGCATGCAGGTACCCCTAAACACTGGCACATCACTATCACTTCCACTGGGAGTCTTGGCTTTAAGGTCCTCAAACAATTGTCTGGCCTTCTCACAAATTATAGCTTCACTAATGTTACCACCTGCCATTTCTTTCTCCTTTATCCACACTAAGAGTAAATTTTCCATCTCTTCAATCACATTACACTTTGCTTTGCTAAGTCTAAAGATTCCCTTTGCCACTTGCACAGTTTTTAACTCTTCTTTATTCTTCAAAATCGTACATATAGTCGATTTAGCCATCCCATATTCATCACTAAGTTTCGCAATGCTTCTTCCATTCTCACGTTTCTTTATAATTTCTTTCTTAGTTTCAAGGGTTATTAGCTTTCTCACTCGCTTTGGATGACTCATTGTTACAATTGTATACTTGTATAACAAAATAGTTATACAAATGACGCGAATTTCCACATCAAAAGACGAAATTTCAACAATAACAGTGGTGCACTGGCTACACAATGAGACAAAGATGGCGCCTGACGCTCTTGTTGTGGGTCGCGGTACAACAATATTCATGCGCCAGGCGAAATAGTCCCGTATTCATCCGCGTTCGTTGTAGGAGTTACGTTCGTTATAGCATTCTCAATTTTATAGGTAAAACCGTTCGTTATAGGAATATTCGTAGTAGGATCCGTTCGTTATAGCATACCCCACTGTACATGATTCATAAGTTCTTTTGCTACATTAGTCACCTTGAGCCTAAACAGCTGCTATCTAGGAAACAGTTGATCAGACACAAGGTGACTTATAATTTATTAAAAATTGTTTTTAAAGGATGGAATACTGTGAGTCTCTTAGGTCATTGCTGTATCCAGCCATAATTTATAAAGTTTGAGCCATCCATTGCTGTATAGGACTGTTCAGTCAGTCAAAACAATAAATGTGTTGGGATTGAGTAGGGATGGGTAATATGGAGTATGGAGGATAGGGAGTGGCAGGTTGGGAAGAGGGGAAGGCATGACATGGGGAGGTTTAGAGTCATACTTGGTCGGAACTGTGGTTGACTCTGAAACAACCCTATTCACCAGGCATTACCCATAATAAATAATTAAGTGGACTTCTTTGTGATGCGCTAGCCCAGTCACGCATCATTATGTGAATCATGTCATATCATATCATGGGGTACCATTATTTGCATTGGTGATGTGAATCATGTCATTGAATGTTAAAAAATTTGCCCCCAAAAAACTTTTCCTCTGTGTCCAATTTTGTTTGGAGGTATGTAAAAGGAAAGAGGATGTGGGAAAAAGGGATGAGGGAAGGGAGGGTGAGTGGTTAAGGAGGGAGAGAGGGGGGCAGATAGAAGTGGAAGAGGGAGGGAGATCAAGATAGTGAGGGAGGGAGTCAGTCGTATGACAAATGCAATCCCATTCAGCAATGAGCTTAATATCAATGGATACAATGTAATGCTTGTAATATAAACACAAGACATTACTAAATTATTCACATCAAATTATTATTATTATTTGTTTTAGAATACTGTGCAGTACTGTACAGGTATATGTAAATATAAAACCTAAATTACTGGTCATTTTGTAATTAATTTAAGTTCTGTTCAGGACAGTCTTACCGGACATTTTGTTCCAAACACGAACCATAGGTGTATACTGTACTTATTCCTGTGGCAGACTGTATGTAGTAGATGCGATTCATGGCACTCGGAGTTCTATTGCTTCATTAGTTACCCTGAGCTGTAATAACTACAGACCAAAAAGTAGTTATTCAGACAAAAGTTGAGTTATAATTTACTGAAGAGTGTTTTTTTAAATAATAGAATTAGTGTTGAAGTGAGAAAAAGTTGTGTCTTAAGGAATGTTTGGGGCTGCTGTCCCGTACCCTGCTCTCACACATTGGCCTTACCCTCCAACACACATGTCATATTTTACATGGTTTTCAATAGCTTTTTTGGATTAATATAGCCTGAATTTACATAACAGGAAACTCATTTGGAGCATATTTCTGGTGTTAACCAGGGATTACCTGTGCAAACAAAACTTCAATTTAACTCGCTAAAAATGCATGGCAGCAAATATGCAGAGGGAAAAGATGGAGAGAATCCCTGTTAAATACATGAGATGCTCTACATATTGGCAGTACTGTACAAGCAGCATGTCAGATCAACCTGGAATCCCACAAATGGGTAAAACAATTTGAATCCAAAGGTCAAGTCAATAATAAGGAGGTTTAGGAATCGATAGTGTAAGAATTACATGTTACACAATCTTACAGATGCAAACAAGACTGGCATACATGCTGGTAACAAAGGTGTTTTAAATTCCAAATTTAGTGGTCATAATTTCCAAATTTTGTAAGGGCAAACGTCCATAACCTGAATGCCTGTATTTGTAAGAAAATATTCAAATATTATCAGACATATTAAAACATGTGGTTGTAATTTATGAATTAAAGTTTCCCTCAAAATAGAAAAAAACAAAAACAATCTTGATTAACATTTAAATAAGAAAAATCATGCTTATGGAAACAAATGTAGTCTTTCTCATACAATAAGAGTACAGTACAGTAGAAGTCCAAAAATCCGGACTGCTTGGGGATTGGGTCAGTCCGGATTTTCAGATTTTCCGGATTCTCAGACAGTACTTTTAAAATTCAAATTTAAGGAGGAATAAAGAAGAGATTAACAGGTACATTTTGATAGTTTATTCATTAGCAAATATAGCTTGCTTCATTTATCAAAACGAGCAGTTTTAAAAAAAAAAGCTGTGAATTCTAGAATTTTATTCTTTGCCATTTTTATATCATAAATTGTAGACTTTCCAATGTCGTATGTTTCCATTAGAACAGTATTGCTCACACCACGTTCTAGTTTCTTAATTATTTCAAGTTTGTCACTCAATTTCAACGTGTTCTTCTTTCTCTTCACACAACGAAGTTTATCTACTTTAGGAGCCATTATTATGGGCTTGTACAGTACTCTGTAAATGGAAAGAGTAGGACTCAAAATTACATATGTTGTCACAGTTTGATTGCTCATTTTAAAGTGGTGACCACATGGTCGTTTTTACGTGAGATTATGGAGGAAGGACAGTACACCGATGACCAGGTGTTTAACATTGACGAATCTGGTCTTTTTTGGAAAAAGCTACCTTCCAGGACCTTCGTTGTGAAGAATGCCAGCAAGATTCGGGGCCGGAAGTTGCAGAAGGAGCGCATCACCGTCCTGTTTACCACTAATGCCTCCGGTACCTGTAAGCTCAAGTTATCGGTGATCCACACAGCACGCAAGCCGCACGCCTACAAAACCATGCACATGACCAAGCTAAATGTCCACTGGCTGACCGCACGTAGGGCGTGGATGTTCTCTACACTGTCCCTCTCCTGGTTTGATGACTGTTTCGTTCCCGATGTGAAGAAATTCTGTTAGCAACAGAATATGCCATTCAAGATTTTGTTGCTGCTGGACAACGCACCAGGACACTCGCCCCTACTGTTAGATCGTCACCCCAACGTAAAAGTGGTCTTCCTTCCTCCCAACACTACGTCTATATTACAGCCCATGGACCAAGAGTTAATCTGTAATGTAAAAGCTGCATTCTCTACTGAAAAATTCAAGCTCCTGAACTACTACACCAACACCAGGGAAGAGTTGCGTAACCTGAGTGACACCAACACCGATAGCAAGAGCGAAGATGACGAGGATCAACAGATGGCAGAGCAAGAAGTACTTTTAAAACAATTCTGAAGAATATTTAACGTCAAGAAAGCTGTGGACTTCTTGGTGGAGTCATGGGATCAGCTGTCTGTACCAACTGTTCGTCACATATGGAGACATGTGTTGCAAGGCATTCCGGCCGCTAGGCAGAGTCAATCTGTGACTGGTGAGGTTCAGACTGTTGCAGTAGTAGTGAACCTTGCCAGAGAAGCTGTGCAGAGTGTTACAGCTGCAGGCTTCTCCGAGACCACCAACGACGACATCCTGGAGGTGATAAGGGATCCTGATGTGACTACCGACGAGATGGTAGATGATGATGACGTCAGTGAAGAGGCAGGTGGTGCGTCATCCCAAGAAGAGCGCCGCTTATCCCATAGTAATGTTAGGGGTGCCATCGAGTGTATCGAGAAAGCCAAGCTCCTCCTTTCCGACGACCCTGATGCAAACAGGTATGAAGTCTTCACTACCCAGCTGTTGCAGACTATGGAGCCCTACATCAAGGTTTATCACGACAACATAAACACCAGCCGTCAGCAAAGCATAACAGAGTTCTTCGCCCGCAACCCACCACAGCCAGCCCAAGCCAGTGATAGTGACAGAGGTAGAGACAGTGATGATGACTTTGAGAGATCTGTCAGGGAGGCCCTGACAAGTGTGGATAACAGTGATGGTGACTCACCTGAGGGCCAGTAGCCTGCCCTCTGCCTCGGAACCAGCCTCCATTCCCGTACGCCGACCCATCTCTTCTACTAACATAAGTGTTAACCCCAACCTTGTTTTTTTCTAACCTAACCTCCAGTTTATTGACTGTTCCCTTCTATATTATGTGTGGGTGAATACCATCATAAAGTTAAGATGTTATTTTTAGTAAACCGTACGTATTATGTCGGGAGAAAGTGGAGTTTGGGGGTCGGCCCGGTCTCTATTTCAATTAATCCCATATGTTATGTTGTTCACTTTACGCGGGCGCCGTGGGTTGAATTAACCGCGTAAAGTGAGGGTTCACTGCATATACAGTGGGGTATGCTATAACGAACGGATCCTACTACGAATATTCCTATAACGAACGGTTTTACCTATAAAATTGAGAATGCTATAACGAACGCAACTCCTACAACGAACGCGGATGAATATGGGACTATTTCGCCTGGTGCATGAATATTGTTGTACCGCGACCCACAACAAGAGCGTCAGGCGCCATCTTTGTCTCATTGTGTAGCCAGCGCACCACTGTTATTGTTGAAATTTCGTCTTTTGATGTGGAAATAGAGTTATTTGTATAAATATTTTGTTATACAAGTGTACAATTGTGACAATGAATCGTTCAAAGCGAGTGAGAAAGCTCATAACTCTTGAAACTAAGAAAGAAATCATAAAGAAACGTGAGGATGGAACAAGCATTGCGAAACTTAGTGAAGAGTATGGGATGGCTAAATCGACTATATGTACGATTTTAAAGAATAAAGAGGAGTTGAAAACAGTGCAAGTGGCTAAGGGAATCTCTAGACTTAGCAAAGCAAGGTGTAATGTTATTGAGGAGATGGAAAATTTACTCTTAGTGTGGATAAAGGAGAAAGAAATGGCAGGTGACAGCATTAGTGAAGCTATAATTTGTGAGAAGGCCAGACAATTGTTTGAGGACCTTAAAGCCAAGACTCCCAGTGCAAGTGATAGTGATGTGCCAGTGTTTAGGGGTACCAAGGGGTGGTTTACTGGTTTGAGAAGGAGAAATAAATTACATAGTGTTGTAAGACATGGTGATGCTGCTAGTGCAGATAAGGAAGCAGCTAAGGAACACCATGATATTTTTTTGAATGTTATTAAAGAGGGAGGCTTTGTTTCTCAGCAGGTATTCAACTGTGATGAAACTGGACTTTTTTGGAAAAAATGCCTCGCCGTACATACATTACCAAGGAGGAAACTTCTGTCCCTGGCCATAAGCCAATGAAAGACAGGCTTACCCTCCTTCTTTGTGCTAATGCTTCTGGTGACTGCAAAATAAAGCCACTCCTTGTGTACCATGCAGAAAACCCCAGAGCTTTAAAAAACACTAGGAAGACCCGCCTTGGTGTTATGTGGCGGTCAAACCCAAAGGCTTGGGTGACCAGGAATTTATTCTCTGAGTGGGTGATTGAGGTGTTTGGACCCAGTGTTCGGGAATACCTCAGGGAGAATAATCTTACACTGAAAGCTTTGTTGGTGATGGACAATGCACCAGCCCACCCTCCTAATTTGATGGTTGAATTGCCAGAGGAGTTGAACTTCATCACTGTGCACTTCTTGCCACCCAACACAACACCTCTCATCCAGCCCATGGATCAACAGGTAATTTCTAACTTTAAGAAGCTGTACACAAAGGCACTGTTTAGAAAATGTTTTGCATCCATGTCTTCCAGTGATGTTAGTTTGAAGGAATTTTGGAATAATCACTTCAATATAGCAGACGCTGTGTTTTTAATTGCGTCAGCCAGGAAAGAGGTTACTATGAAGTGTCTTTGTGCTACTTGGAGGCCATTGTGGCCTGAATGTGTGCTTCAAAGAGACTTTGAAGGCTTCGAAGAGTTAGAGGAAGAGGCTGTTGTACATGAAATTGTGTCTCTGGGCAATTCCATGGGCCTGGAAGTGGATGATGATGATGTTAAGGAGTTGGTGGAAAAGCACAGTAAGGAGCTGTCCACTGAGGAGCTGCTTGAGCTTCACAAAGAAGAAAATGAGACACTGAAGCGGAGCTTAACTTCTGATGAATCAGGGGAGGATGAGGACAAGGAGGAAAGCTGCATCATTCCAGCCAAAGATCTCAAGGATGCAAACGTCTAAGCTTGCTGAGGATTATCATCCTGATGTTGGTTCTGTGCAAAAGGCCATCAGTGTGTTTAATGACAATGTGATGAACTACTTTTGGAAGGTCCAGAAATCAAGGTTGAAGCAGCCAACCATGGATTCCTTCTTTAAAAAAGTAGCAAAAGACCCTACAGACAAAGTGCCTGTAAGACAGTCACCAAAGAAGGCTAGGAAGGATGACTCCTCTCATTCCACCTCTTCTCCATAATTCTCTCCTCCCCCCTCCCCCTCCTGTCCTGCATGCTGAACAACACTAAGGTAAGATAAAGTACCGTATTTTTTACATTTTCCACAGAAAATTTTCAGTGTTAAGTGGTTCTATTTGGGGGCCTGGGACGGATTAATCCTATAACGAACGAATGCTATAACGAACGAGGTTCTAGAACCAATGTCGTTATAGCATACCCCACTGTCTATATATATATATATATATATATATATATATATATATATATATATATATATATATATATATATATATATATATATATATATATATATATATATATATATATATATATATATATATATATATATATATATATACAAGTAAACACATACATACATACTACATACACATATATATATATATATATATATAAATATAAATAATATATATATATATATATATATATATATATATATATATATATATATATATATATATATATATATATATATATATGCAAGTAAAGCACTGTAGGTGCACGTGATCCAGGTATATGCTGATAACCACAAGGAAAAAGAAAACACGAAGTTCCCAAGCGCTTTCGTGTAATTCACATCTTCAGGGGTGAGTACAGACTAAGGAGAAATACATAACAAGGCAAATATATATACAGTAGAGGAAGGTGAGATCAAGTCCACAATAGTCAGGTTCTTAGGTAGTGACCCTACTAATCTTCAAAAAGCACCGCAGCAGTCGGAAGTCAAGTCAACGGGTAAGATGACCCAGCCTTCTCACCTGGTTACAAATCATCTTAATTACGAAATTATCCAGTTTGTACATACCATTACTCAAATTCATGTTGACGGATTCAGTATGTTTAATGAGACTGGATTCTATAATGTTCCTACTGTCAATTGAATTGCAAGGTAATATTGAGGAGGCATTATCCCAGTCAATGCAATGCTTATTATCCCTCAAATGAACAAACAGAGCTTTGGATTCCTGGGTTTTTTCCTTGCATTATAATGACAGGCAGAACCTCTTGACATCTCAAGCTCTATAATGTAGATAACTCAGGATTAAATGGGAGTACCATAATTATATGTACTGTAAAATTCTTTAAATCAAATTATTATTTTTATTAAAATTTTTACATCCTTACAGCACCTGACCCACCAGTTATTGAAGAAAATGAAAGTAATACACAAGTAGAGGTTGGGGATACCATAAGAATGACCTGTACTAGCGATAGTGGGTTTCCTCCTGCAATATTGAAGTGGTTTAGAGATAATGAAGAGCTGTCTTCAGAAACTCAACAAGAGAAGGAAAGTTCCAGGGCCTACTTAGACATTGTGGTAACAGAATCAGACAGGGAAGCAGAGTACCGCTGTGAAGCTTCCAACTTCGCCACAACCATCCCACGCAACACAACTACTGTACTTACGTTCCGCAAAAGTATGTACTGTACTGTACTGTATTCTCATAGGAGACAGAAATTATATCATAATTTATTTATTTTTGGGTGGTTTTGTTTTGAATACATGTACGTACATTCATATTACATACAAGAAAGTAATAGGCAAATGCCTTAAACCATTAAATAAAGGCAATAAACTAAGTGGAAAGGATAAGCAGTAAAAGAGAACAGTTGGAATTGATGTGACTAGGTAGGAATAAAGGTGTAATATCATCATTAGAGCTAAGTACCTATTCCTGTTGATCAAGATCCAAAATTCATGGTGTGCTGTGTCATGTCCTGTACCTTTGGCAACAGGGAGTACGGGGTGAAGACTAGGTTGATGGGCAGTGGAAAGACAAATCACTCATGGTTAAACACAGTAAATGTGCCTACAGTAGGCTCTCGCCAATAACGTCTAATAGGTGCCTGAAAAACGCCGTTATTAGCGAAAACGTTATTTGTGTGATATTGAAATACATGTAAAAAGGGTTTATTGGTGCCGCCGCCCCAAGAATTTCACCCATTTGTTCCCCTTTGAAGCCCTGCCTAACACTTTTTGTTAGCTGAAATAAAAAGATTTGTTATTCAATCATCAGAATAAAGAATTTGAGTAATATAACACTTACCCGTAGCTTGGGGGAGTTTTTGAGGTGCTTGGTGTGTTTATTGTTCCGTGGCTGGGCATGGAGGCTACTGCGTCGAACCTCCGTCCCCGTGCTGGCCTCTCGCACCCGGTTCACCCACTTCCGCTAACACTTCATCAAACCCCGCAAAGTCAAAATTTTCAGGCATTTCCCCAATATCATCTATGTCTTCATCAACTTCAATCTCTCTCTGAGTTGTGGCAGGAGTGCCGACCAGGCATGCCTAACAGTTACTTTCCTAGTATTTCCCCAGGCTTTTACAAAGAAATTGACTGCCTGGCGAATGTTATAATTTTTCCAGGAGGCAGTAACAGTCACTGTGGAGGTTGAAGGTATGCCAGGAGGAGGAGGAGTAGAGGCGGAAGCTGTGAGTGAGGCAGGCGGAGTAAAGGAGGCGGTGGGTGAGTCATGCAGAGTAGTGGAGGCGGTGTGTGAGCCAGGCGGAGTAGCGGAGGCGGCGAGGGGTGGACCCTCTTCCTCCTCCTCCTCCTCCTCCTCCTCCTCCTCCTCCTCCTCCTCGCTACTGCTCACAGTTTCAGCAATTTCCTTCAATTCTTCTTGCTTATCAGTTTCCTTCCTCATCTTGTCATGGACATATTTGAAGTACAGCAACTTTACATTCGCTATGACTTCTTGGTCTAGTGGCTGTATTTTGGAGGTTGTATTTGGTGGAAGAAACACAACCTCAACGCTAGGGTGACGTCCTACTAGAAATCGTGCATGACTGGGGGCATTGTCTAGAAAGAGCACCACTTTGAAGGATACATTCTTCTTCCGACAGTATTCTTTGGCATCCTTAACAAAACAATCATCAAACCACTTCTTTGATAACTCTGTGGACATGTAGCCTTTATTTGTCTTTTCCCAGTAGACATTCAGTATGGACATATCACATCCCTTGTAAGCTCTTGGTCTTTTATATTTGTAGATCACCAGAGGCTTCATGAGGCAGTCACCTGAAGCATTACAGGTTAAGAGGACACTAAAGCGATCCTTTGCCATTTTCACACCTTTTGCCTGTTTTTCTTTCTTAGAAATAAATGTTGCTTTAGGGGATTTTTTCCAAAACAACCCGGTCTCGTCACAGTTAAAAATCTGATCCAGGGTATAACCTCCCTCTTGAATGATTTGATTGGCAATTTCAGGGAAGGAATCTGCAGCCACTAAGTCAGCAGACAAAGCCTCACCCTGATACTTTGCATGCTTTGTGCCACTTCTAATCTTAAACTTATGCAGCCACCCTACTGAGGCATTGAAAGGAGGGGGAGACTTAATGTTTTTCTTTCGAGCTACAGCAGCGTACAATACCCTTGCTTCATCTCGTATCTGAGGGCCGCTAACACTTGCATTGTCTTTCATTCTACAAGCTAACCATTTCACAAGAAAATGCTCTGTTATCACTATCAACCTGTTTCTATCACTTTTATCATTCATAGCTCGCCTTGCATTTCCATCACTATCGAAATATTTCTTAGCCAGTGCAATACTCTTCTTGGTCTCCTCTAAGTTCCTCTTAATATTTCGCACTGTAGACTCAGGACAGTTCAATTTCCTCACAATATCAATGTTCCATGCACCACTTTCAATGAGCTCAACAATCTGTTCTTTATCCTTGACTGAGTAGGCACACTTCTTGTGGCTTTGTCTCTTAGCTTTGGGGTCTTTTTTCTCATTCACCTTAAAAGTTCCCGGGCATTCAGGTAATAAATCACTCCCTCCACCACCTCCCCCAGCCCCCACAGGCAAAAACACGGAAGCCATTGTTGATCATCAACCCTCGCAACCACTGGTTATAGAGGCGAAAGTCTCACACGTGGGTGCAGCGCTGTATTCCACAGAGCGTGTGTGAGAGAGTGAGGCAGAGCAGACAACTACGTCATCAACATGGCGGCCAAACAAACGCTATCATTCATGCCCTCGGACGCTTCCCGCGAAATCTAATTTCCGTTATTCAAGAGAATCCAGACGTTATTATTGAAAATGGGTATCTATTGTAACTTACCGTTAATGTCGAAAACGTTATTGTGGAAGTCATTTTTGGCGAGATCCTACTGTAGTCACTATGCTGTACTGTTTTCACAAGCTAGACCAACCTATTTGAATGTGATCTAAGTCCACAAGCACAAATCTATTTGGGAGTAAGACTGGGCACAGGTGGGATAGGTAAGGTTTCATATATCCTTTTCTAATTCTTGTTTGTTAATAAAGTCAGAGAGAGGGTCTGAAAGGGGCAGGGAATAATTTCATACATAGCAAATAAGTCCAGGAAATTCAAAACACATAAAGTTGCACACTGCATCTATGTTTTAAAGGAGTACCTGCACTGGTCTACATTATATTCATATCTGTCAAAAGGGTTAATGATGATTTATCACTCCTCCATTACAACCTTTTTTCACTGCCAAGTCCACTTATATTATTTATGCCTTGTTCACAGCCACAATTTTATTTGTTCTGTGTCTGCCATCAAGACTGCATTTTGAGTAAGGTTAAATTATTTGTGTGTATAAAACTCATTAGTGATTCAGCTACATGTATTTCATTTATTATTTTATTGATTCATCTACATCTGTTATGTCCATTATTTACATTCAGATTCTTTATACAGTAGAATCCCAGTTATCTAGTATCCGGGGAATCGGTAGATTTAACTCCAAAATCAGCTAGTATCATAAGTTTGAATACCGCACGCAACTGGGATGAGCTGCCATATTTATTGCTTTGATAAACATTAAATCGATACATAGGATTATACACCACTGCAGTGGTATATAACGAGTGAGTACAGCTCTTATAATCCTTTTGTAATATACTGTATATACTGTACTGTCCTTTTATTCTTTTTATAATATAATTACTATGTCCTTTTGTAATATTTACTATGACTATGCTCTTGAGTTTGAGATGCATACAGTATCTCTAAGTGTAACTCTCAAGCATCCAGAAAAAATTATTATCCAGCACACTCAATTCCCTATGCATTCCAGATATCTGAGGTTATACAATACTGTAGTTGTAGCCAAGGCCTTGGCTATAACTGCCTCCACACACATTTACTTCTCACACATACACTTGTTCTTCATTTTTCTTGTTTTATATTGTGTTTTCTTTACTTCAAAGCCATATTAGAGTATTGTAATGATTTTTCAATAACTTTTACAGTTTCATTACATGTAACAATAAACATGGCGGCTGGAATGGCGAGTCGGCAACGTAGTCATAGCCCACCTCCTACACACACGTTCAGTTTCTCTTTCTCTCTTTTTAAAGCATGCCTCCTCTCACAGAGAGACTATCCATGTTTACACCATCGGCTCAAAGCTGGATACCGGGGGTGGGTTTTAGGGTGGCATTTCCTGAATTTTGTTGGGACGGTAGTCTCCCCACTATGGCATCTATTCTTACTGCAGAGCTTTTGGGTATTTTACTTGCCATCAAGATTATTTTTACCCAGCCTTTCTCGATTTTAATTTTTTTTTGCAATTCTCATAATGCTCCCCAGGCCTTAGCTAGTGTCTCATTACCCCATTGCTTAGTTATAGATATTTTACAGTGGCTGTTTCTCATCCAACGTTGGGTTGGAAAGTCAGTTTTTGCTGGGTTCCGACCCATGAGCGTGCTGATGCTGTGGCGAAAGCAGCTGCTTCTCACCTTGTGGCACTTCTTTCTCCTCTACCTGTCTCTGATATGAAGCCAGTAATAAGAGCTCTCATCCGCTTGAGTTGGCAACGCAGGTGGGATGGTGTCGGAGCAAACAAGCTCTTTATTTCTAAGCCACCTCCATTAATTTGTGTAATTATAATTTGGATTTCAGCTTAATTCATATGTTTTTTAAAAAATTAATAAAAAGATTTGAATTCGGAATGAATCTGAAATAACCGAAAAGTTGCCTTTGCTGCCACTTAAAATATTCTATTTATAATTATATTACAGGTTGACAATCCCTTATCCAAAATCCTTGGGGCCACAGGAATTTGGGATTTCGGAATTTTTCGGTTTTCAGAATGGTTAGTTTTTTTTATTTTTTTATTTTTATTATTATTATTATTATGTGTATTAGCCCACCCGGGCATAGATCATTGACCCACATCAGGGCCTGGGGGGGGGCGAAAATATAATAACAATTATTATAATAATAATAATAATTCATAGGTCTAGGTTGTGTTTCTCACTTTTGATCTTTTTTTCATTCTTGTATTTCTTTATTATTATGATTATTATTATTATTATTATTATTATTATTATTATTATTATTATTATTATTATTATTAATATTATTATTATTATTTTATTATTACAGTACTCCTGTATTATTGTTATTTTTATTAATTTTATTATTATATATTATTATT